GGTGTGGGGGGGGGGGTCATGATTGAAGTGGATTGAAGCCCCTCGACTAAAGAACATGCGGCAGGACTCCCGTTTCCTCCCGGTCCGAGGCACCAGGAAGTCCATTCTCGCTCCTCGGTGCGCGGCCACTGAGCTCGCCGACGCCACCGTGTGGCCGACGAGGGACTTGCTCCAACACGCCCCCTCTTTGCAAAGCTAAGCGCGCCGAGCAATCGTGCCACCGCAATGACACGTTCCGGTCCACTTCTGCAGCACATACACACACATACACACACACAGTCTACGGGACATTCTGTTGTGGTGGTGGTGCCCTCCTTTACGCCAACATCCGCCTCCTCCCCGAGGCTCAGTTGGAGCTGGCTGCGATGGGTTTGTCCAGAGGCGACGAGCTGAGCCGGAGGCTGCCATAACAGTTCTTGCACACACGGCTGGGCTCGAACAACTGCTGGCTCGGCACCGGGATTTTCTGGTCGCAGCAGCTGGCGCAGAACACATTACCGCAGTTCCTGTGGCAGGGGGGGCAACAACGGTCAGCGCTGGATTCTCAGCATACACACACATTATGCACCTTCCACATCAGTGGCAACAGGTTAAGGTTAATGGACATTCCGTCATTTAACGGAAGAGGATTTTTATCGCTTTTCCTGTCAGCATACACGGCTGGCATAGATAGTTTAGCAAAGATAGATTGGTAATAAACAGCACATCGTTTTCACACAAATACAATTGGATCATTTCCTACAGAACTGCTGATGATCTGTGACTCTGGAATTTCATGAGCTTCATGACTGGAGTGGAGGCTTCTCAAACATTCTATCGGCGCATCGATTAAGGCCCGTCTCATGTAATACTAAAATATCGCTCTTATATATCAAGTTCCATAGCAGTGTATGTTACAACTGCAATAATAAACACACACTTAAATTGTGGCCTAAGATTCCATGTTTGAATTAATGTTGGGTCCATCAGCCACTTCAAAATTAAACTACGCCTCAAAACGTCTCAGAGGTCTTAATTGGACAACGAATCACAGCAGAACTCAACTTATTACTTACTGATAGTAAGAAATGAATATAGGATTAATAAATCACAAAGGAAACACCAGAGCTGTGAGTAGGCATAAAGGGCCCTCATAGACCTGGCAAGGTTGGGGTACTGACACATTGGGATTTTCGCACACTGGAATTGGAATTTTGGAAAATGAAGTACATCATCAGATTAAAAGCTACGTTGATAAAATATGACCTCTATAAAGTGCCAAAATATGAAAGGAAATTAAAATAGCCAACATCCTGTTGAGGTTGGAATCGGTCTCCAAAGACTTTCTGTAGGTCTTGGGCTGTTACATTTGCCTCCAACTATAGGAAGATCTTGGTGAAATGTTCAACCAGGGCTGTTTGGCTAAAAATATGCAGAGGGCGCAATTAAGTCATTTTTTTAAACTGCAAAATAAACGCATAAAATCGTGATTCATTGGCCGAGCGTGATGTGTAGTTTTATATGTCACCGCAAATGTTAAGACCATCAAAATCCGTTTCATTTTTCGAGCAAACAGCGTTTGGCCATGGCATCGGTGTTGGATGAAATAAACAGCTTTGCTGTTATTTTATATTTTGAATATTTTTAGATGAAGCAGCCAGAGTTTCAAGGCAAATGGATAAAATTTGGAGGAGGAGTTTTTTTTTTTTTTAATGTAACCCCTATAAAATGGTGAACTTCCAGTCAGGTTAAACATATGGCTACAAGAGACCGTTTGTAGGTCTTTGGGCTGTTACGTATGCCTTTAACTTTTAGTACATCTTGTTAAAACATACAACCGATGCTGGTTCATAAAACTTTGTAAGGGGCACTACTGAGCCATATATACAAATTTTTCTGCCTCGAGTACCTGCTGATGTACATGCACACTGTCCAGAAGAAGTAGTCCAGATAACGTCTGCAACAATGGTTCATGATATGTATGACGGCAACACGCCACCAATGCGATAAGGACAACATAAAAAACCCCAAATTACTTTACCCAGTAATATATGGACATCGAGCCTTGGTAAGCTTTTGTTATGAAGTTGTTTGCAGCAAATAACACTTCGTAGCTTCTGACTTCACATGTCTTTCAGACTGTTTGGGTTGTCACAAACTTGCTACTGATGTCAACGAAACATGCTTGCTCTTAATTCATTCAGTACCAGCCAATTCTAGACCAAGTCTGAAAAGACGTTTAAAAACGTCTTTGGGAGTGAATGAGTTTAAATAACTTTCTATCACTAATAAATGGGGCTAAAAAAAAAAACAAACAAAAAAAAACAAAAAAAAAAAAAAACTTCATGACGCTGACGATGTATGGCGCCTGTTGTCAGTGTTCAATAGAGCCGTTGGTTTATTTCTCAAAGGCATTTTTAATAGATGTAAATGACTGGAAAAAAATGGCCATCACTGAAGAAATTACACTTTGCCTCAGTTTACGTACAAAAATTTACTGTGCCCTCAATGTAGCTAACACAGTGTCTAAACTGCTGTGCTGTCCCATGAAAAGATACAATATTTACAAAAATGGGAGGGGTAAAAAAAAAAAAAAAACGACTTACTTCATGACGCTGACGATGTCTGGTGCCTGTTGTCAGTGTTCAATAGAGCCGTTGGTTTATTTCTCAAAGGCATTTTTAATAGATGTAAATGACTGGAAAAAAATGGCCATCACTGAAGAAATTACACTTTGCCTCAGTTTACGTACAAAAATTTACTGTGCCCTCAATGTAGCTAACACAGTGTCTAAACTGCTGTGCTGTCCCATGAAAAGATACGATATTTACAAAAATGGGAGGGGTTTACTCAAGTTTGTGAGACATGGAATGCCTCCCTTCACATGTAAATATGTTTAGAAAACACCCCCAAAATGAACTCAGATATGGGCATTCAATTTTAATTTGTGCACTCAGACCTACAGTGTAAATCCAGACTCAGAGCTGAATTTCAAAGGAGCGATGCTTAGATCTACCACAAAATCCCATGAGACGCATGTTTTTTCACGTATAAAATTATACAAAATCGTCCCACCATATTATACATGGATTCATAGTGAAAAAAAATTTAAAAAAATTAAAGAATAAATCAAATAGTTTAACGTTTACATGTACCAAAATGTAACTAAAAGGCGTACTTTCAAAGCAACATTATATTTAATGTGTTATGTTACGAATCTATGTATTATAAAGTACCTTGTTTCAAAAGAAAATTGCTTGCATATGCACCGTGGGCGAAATTAGTCAAGCCAGCAGCAGCAACAATTGTTCATGTCATCCATGACGGAACACGCAGCCAACATTGATAGGGCAACTTCCAAATAAAATCTTTTCAACTAAACTACATGAATGCCTCGTGGCTGATTTGACTGTTTTTCGAGTCGCTGTAGTTGCAGCATTTCACAAACCCATCCATGACGGAACACGCAGCCAACATTGTGAGGCCAACTTCCAAATAAAATCTTTTCAACTAAACTACCTGAATGCCTCATGGCTGATTTGACTGCTTTTTCGAGTCGCTGTAGTTGCAGCATTTCACAAACTGTTGCCACCAACATCAACAGCACGTCGCCCTGAGAAAGTTCAATCGCTAATTAATGACACTAAAAAGACAACCGTAGTTCGCGTGCTATAAGGCCCACCTAAAAGCATTCAATTTTCTCAAAAGCCGACAGTGCGCCTTATAATCCGATGCACCTTATATATGATACAGTTTAGTATTCTGATTTCTTGGATGTAGTATTTTAGATGTTCTGTAAAGCACTTTGTTACAGCTGCAGCGGTTGTGAAAGCTCCAAAAGCATTCAATTTTCTCAAAAGCCGACAGTGCGCCTTATAATCCGATACACCTTATATATGATACGGTTTGGTATTCTGATTTCTTGGATGTAGTATTTTAGATGATCTGTAAAGCACTTTGTTACAGCTGCAGCGGTTGTGAAAGCTCCAAATAAATAAAGCAGTGTTGTATTGTATTTCCTTGAGCATAGCTCCATCTAGTGGATGCATAACGCAACAGCAGCCAGTATTGTAGCTTCTATTCTATGCGCCTTATAAAGCGGTGGGCCCTATATATGAAAACAGCTTTAAAATAGGCCATTCATCGAAGGTGTGTCTTATACTCCAAAGCCCACCATCGTGCGGAAAATACGGTACTTCATTACATTGACATTGTATAACGGCACCAGTTGGCAGCATTTAGCGATGCTAAGTGAGCAAGACGGCGAGAGCTGGCGGATTATTTTTCAAAAGCAGTTTAGAACGCACATACAGTATGACTGCACAATTTGATGCTGACAGCGTGACAGTTGCCGTTCCTACTGATCACAAAAGTTGTCCCAAGATCTCATTTCCTATAAATGTTTCTACAGATGAAAATAGTGTGCTGCTAAGCACAGTTGACATTTAGTTTTAAAAAGTTCATTATCTAAACATAAAAGCACTTGGCCAGACATTAATTTTTGGAAAACCTGATTTCCAAAGGCTTTGCAAGACCTTAATTACAGGTGTGGGAAATGTGCATAGTTTTTAACCTGGATTTAAAAGCAATTACACTTTAGTGGCATGTTTTGAATCATTACCCAATCATATTATTCATTCGAGTATCACTGGTCAACAAATATTTTGGTGCCAAGAAACTTTCAAAGGTTGTAGGGTATTTTGGTGTTGCTGAATCTGCAAACGGACTTGTTTTATTCCAAATTGGCTCTCGTTTTTGAGATCTTCAATCATATATTTAACAAAAGTGTTAAAAATACATACATTTTGACACTGGTATCCTCTTTATGTTACAACTTTGGAGCTGTATTTGTCTAACAATGTCCATATGGTATTATTTCTTCTTTTTTTTTTTAATGCGATCTCATGACAGACAGCAATATGCAAATCATGTTCCAGGTGAAAATCAAGCAAACTGTCATCAAATTTGTCAATGTTGGCAGTAAACAAGCTTGTTTGACTTTTATTGGAGAATAAACGAAGAGCATTTTTGATATCCTGAAATAATCTCACTGTCCAAAATATCAATCTCTCTAAAATTACAGCCAATTAAAAAAATAAAACGGATGCCATTTTCTGCTTCAGAAGCCCATTATTACTTAGAAATCAAAATATCATTCACACTCAAAAAAACAACAAAAAACTGTTGGTCAACATAATAAAGGATGCTAGCAAACTAGAGACCCATATAATACACAAGTACAGAGGGGAAAAAAAACCCAACTGCTTTTTAAGGATGATTTTTGGGGGGGGGGGGTATTAGACAGGGGTACGAGATTTTACAGTAGACTTTGAGCTGACATAATTGCATCAAGCCTGAAGGGTCCTCTTAACTGTTTAGCGGGTGAACCTCAGTGGTGATCCTGATGCTTCACCTCCACACGCCAGGCTAGCGGATGCCATTCAATACTCACTAAGTGATATTTTGTCTCCTATACATTGGAAGCCGATAAAACACATGGCGGCAAATTGGAAAAGTTTTGACATGCTGAGGTCCCGATGGAAGACCAGGCTCACGCTGGAGCTCTTGGCCGTTCCGCTTGGCGCGACTTAACACCTATTTTGCTCTCCTGATTATTGCACCCCAATGCAGGGGTTAGTAAGGTTAGAGCACAGCACCACTGCTGGCTGAGTGGCAGGTTGGGGCAGCATGCCGCCAGGGTGTCCGCAATAACGATGGTGGTGGAGGGACAGTGGCAGCCCACAGCCAATCACAGCTCATGGATAGCAAAACTGCTCACACTCACAGCCAATGAATAAAAATGTCCCCGCAGCAATCACACTCAAATCGCTTTCTCTTGGGAACTGCACACAAGGACAGAATAAAAGGGCAAACGGATGCAGTGAGGGGTGGAGGGAGAAGGGTGAGGGACTGATCGGGACTACAGTGAACCCCCGTTCATCTTTTGCATCGCCATTGTATCGGTGATTTTTAAGTGACAGTTTTTTTTAAATGGGTCTTTATAGTACTTCTAGGGGCGGCATGGTGTTTAACTGGTTAGCACATCCACCTCATAGTGCAGGGGTCCAGGATTTGAATCCGGGCTCCGACCTTCCTGTGTGGAGTTTGCATGTTTGCAGGATGTCACCTTGTTTTCATATCTGAGTAATAAAATGCTTTTCAAACATGAAAAAAAAAAGAACGACTTGAAAGACGTCACATTTGTTTGATATTTGCGTGACAGGGTTGAAAGTTGAAGAGCAAGTTATTTCCAAAACATCTCCTTACGTATACTATAATGAGGCACTTTGAAAAATATTTTACTGATTTGACTGTATCCTGGTTCGCACGCCGGCCTCACAGTGCAGAGGTGCAGGGTTCGATTCCGGCTCTGGCCTCCGCCTTCCGTCAGGAGTCAGCTGGGATAGGCTCCAGCACGCCTGCGAGCCTCGTGAGGATCAGAGCGACTCAGACAATGGATGGATGAATGGATTTTATAGTACTCGATACAATACAGCAAAGTCTGAATTCAGCCTCCAGTATAGTACCACGTAGTGGGTAGCACTGAACTCGAGTGGATGTAGATGCAGCGCAAGTAAGAGAAGAGACGAGGAGCAGAAAAGGACCCTAACAAAGCAGCAGTCTTTCCCACAGAGCAAAGCAAAGAGAAGACATGTGAATAATGTTGCACTGCATGGTTTGGTTTACCATTTCAGTGTTTAAGCATGCAATGGTTTAATCTTTTGTTGTGAAACTGCTGCATGTGTGTTCAAGTAGCATTTTTTGGAGGGATTATGATTAATGTATCATAATAGCTAGAGTCATTTCTGCTAACCATTAATGGGGAAGTCAAGACAAAAAGATTTCCCACAATAATATGTTCTGTGTCACTTTTAACTTTGCATTCCGATTAATATTCAGCTGTTTTTATTATTCTGCCATTTTGCCATACCCAGACAACAGGTGAGCCGCGATGTTAAGTGACGTGATGGCTTAGGGAATAATTTTGAAACGTTTGTTTTTATAAATTGACATTTGTTTCAATACATTTAAATTAGTTGAAGGCCTGTGAGCGGGGTAAAACTAAAAAGTTGTTTGATTTGGCTGTGGGTGGGTGTGGAATGTATTCCCTGCGATAAATGGGGGTTCACTGTAGAAGGGAAGGTGTGCGATGCCAGGCTAGGGTAGAGTGAGGTGGGGAGGGGAGGGGGGTGGGGCAGAGGAGCCGGATCTCACCAGACCTCCTGGACAGGCTCCCTGCCACTGTAGAGGAGAAAGGTAGACAATAGAGAAGAGCTGCCTGAACAGGGAGGACAACAATGACACACTACAAGTACAACGTGCCTCATGGATCAACCGCCTGCCACAGACTTTCAAAGACAACATGGAAAGTTTTGGCACATCAAATGATTTTGAATCGGTGTCAAGACATTGTGTCCAGCACAGTGTGCATGGATTCCACTGTGCCTTTGCACCAAAGTTCACGATGGTAAAATGGAGGGGAGGACACGATCTCAATGAAACTGATGCTCACCTTGAAAAGAACCATGTGACAACAAGAGTCTAATTCGTAGTAAAACAGCGCGTACAAAAAATATTACCTTGTTATTTTTAAGGTCACTCAGCGTTTTCAAAGAAAGCTTATCACTAGTCAAATGTGAGCATATTAAACCTACACTTGTAATGCTAAGGATTGAGTTGTTGAAGCAATTTTTGGTAATTTCATTGTGTTGGTCATGTAGACTTGATTTCACTACATGGGTTTAACCACGGGGACATTTTTTTTTTAGCTTTTAAAAGTATTATAATGCAACCAAAGAACAATAACAACAACATCCCACATCTGTCTCAGAAAAGAAACTCTCCCACAAAAATGTCTTATTTATTCCAAGTTGAGTAATTTGTATTTGAGGAGCTTTAAATACATTTCTAATGCAATTCAATCCAATGTAAATCATAAATAGCTGGCGTCGGGCTGAAAGCTCCTGACAAAATTTAGGAAATGTAATACTCTTTCAAAAGTCTACACTATTGGTCAGTCCACACATAAGGGTTAGGCTGGCTGATAATTTATTATCAATACGGATAGCAATAGACACATGAAGAATAAAAAATGACTGATTAATTTGTTTAAACTCCGACCCCGGCATTGTGCATGTTGTAGGCAGGGACTACAGTGTGGCATTGGATTTGTGCCACAATTAAAAGCATCTGCAGAGTTTGAGCACAAAAGCATGTTTTGAGTGCAGCCGAGTCCCACGGCCGCTCAACTTCCGACTGCAGACACGAATCAGAAGAAGCTGACCCAACGAAGAAGTGGCACCTACACATGCAGTATGGCATAACTTTGTAAAAATAAATTACCAGTCAATTCAGTAACTCTTGCAATAAGGTTATACTGCGCGCACTATCCCGAGTAAATTCCTCCGGAGGGATACACAGTGCAAAAGTAAAAGAGTTCCCTGTCTTTTAGCCAGCTCCACCCACCCCTCAGCATTGCACTCAAGTCAAAATTAGGTAAGTCAAACATGAATGGCCTCATGGTCCCTTCCTGGCACCACTGGCAATTATGACCCCGCTTTAGAGATTACACTAAGTAGTCCTAAAACGGGTGGCCAACTGTAATACATGCAGAAAATATTACTGCAGTTTGCGACACTTATTTTTCATGAACACTGCATAAAGGTAAATGAAACATTTCTGGTGCCCTGCTGGAGGAGCAACTTTGCATATTAGACTAACATATAAAAAAAATGTACATTCCTTGAAAACGAAATTCACTACCAGTTATTTTGAACGGTGTTTTTATTGTAATAGGTTTGCTTTATTTATTATTGCTTTGTCCTTCTCTGTGTTTACCTGCAGTGATGCTTCCTGGTGGCGAGCCAGAACCTGCTCTCACAGCCGTAACACTGGGCAGCCAAATGATCAGGGTACCAGCGGGTAACCTGAAAAGACGCACACCAAATTTTCTTTCTATTGACAAAAATAGAGCTGAAGGAATTTAGCTACCGGTACACTGACCGCACACCAACGCGATTGAACTAGACAGGACTGAAAAACTGCACAAATTACAGTTGACAGTCAAAGTTATGGTAGCATTTTGGGACACAGCATGCCAGGCAGCACTGAGCTCCACTGAGAGAGATGCTCCATAATTAACAGCAGGAAGAGGCAGAGAAAGTTTCCCAGTAAGTTAAGTCTCCCAGGAAGTGATGAAGATATTTTAACAGAGCAGCGATAACAGTGGGGTCTGACAAGTGTTTAATTTTTGGGTGCAGTAGAAGCAGAAGATGGCCAGCTTTTCCTTGTGGTCTGGCGGATGTTGCTGCACCTCTGTCCATCCTTACCCGGATGGACAGATGGTGCCTTTTCAATAAAATGAAAGCACCAAGCACCATGGATAAATTGATCTTGAATTCTCTCACGGCTGCTCGATTCCCATGGTCCTCCGCGTCACTGATAGCTTGCAGTTTAAACTGTGTTTCTTCATAGGTGCCATTTTTGGGATGTTGTTTTGCACAATGGATGTACTATATATAAACACCTACTGGGGGCATGCTTTTAGCGTCCGCTTTAACGCCCACTCTTCCCACTTTAACGTCCACATTGCTGTCATCAGTTACGTCTGCCTTTCCTCTGTACCAGCAATGCGTCAGCACAACACCATCTAAGTCGCACAAGAGCATTCACTGATTTTGGAACTCATTGCAATCACAAGTCAACCGCATTATTTGGCGCCCCGTCCATTTTGGAGAAAATTTGAGACTTGTGTGTCATATGGTTGTGAAAATACGGTACTTTTTTGACACCCTACTTTCTCACTCTGCCAACCTCCACACCCCCCTTTTTTCAAACTACTCGTGGGCCATGCTAAATGTCATTTTTAAGATATGCCACGGGCCACTGAAAAATGGATGAGGGGCCATTTGTGGCCGTAGTTTAAACATAGAGTGTGGTGTAACAAAAACAAGGCTGTCTAACTAAGCTGTAGTAATAGTAGTTGTTTTTTTTCAGAGGAAGAAGAACATATGCCAGCGAGTGTAGCTGAATGTTCCTTCTGTGTATGTTGCTACAGCGTGTGTTCAAATATCAGCGATATGTCTGCACGTTTCGTGAGTCCATCTTCGGCATTTACCAAAAAATGTTCCCATTACGCTAGATGATTAAGACAGTTATGTGGTTTGGTTTAATACACAACATGTAATTGCAGTGACCAGCTGCAAGAAAGTATTTGTCTTTCTTGGTCAAATTTTTCACAATCTGTTCAGTTCGTTAACATCATCTAACACTTAAAACTTACAATTTCGCCAGTTCGTAATTCCAAAAACTTACTTCAACTGGGAATCAGAAATGGCAAGAACCTTTTTGGAGAACTATGCAAGCGTAAGGTTTATTTTCATTTCCTAAAGATTGTGTTAAACAAAGTCTCTCAGATATTGACAGTGAGAAAGTGAGAATAATTGCTAAATTAGACTTTTAAAAAAATTGTTTTAATAAGTTTGCGGGTGTGTATTAAGTTTAATACAGTCAAACCTCGGTTTTCAAACGTCTCTGTTCTCGACCAAATCAGTTTTCGACCAAAAATTTAGAGTTTTTTTATGCCTCGGATGACGACCGAATTTCAGTTCTCGAACAAACTGAGCGCACTTGAATGCGTCACTTGACTCCTCTTGCCTTCCTTACATGAGGAAGTGACGCTTCCTCAGGTAGACGAGGAAGTGACGCTTCCTCGTGTAGCGTTCCATTGTGAGCAGACGTGTTCAATAAAGATTTTTTTTTTTTTAAAGAGCGTGGTTTCGGTTTTCGAACAAATCGGTTTTCGAACAGCCTTCTGGAACGGATTATGGTCGAAAACCGAGGTATGACTGTATGTTTAAAATGTGCAGGAAGGGTATTCCTATTAATAATTTATTTATTTATTTCAGTGGTCTCCCTATCCTGTGTCGCAAATTTTTACACGTCAGTCTGGAATGGATCCCCAGCGATAAACAGAGGTTAACTGGAGTTGAAAAACCATCCACACTGTGCGATGCAACTGAGTAGTTCAGTCATGTCGCTCGGTGGGCAGCTGGTTTCAGGAATAGAACCCAAACATTTGATAAAGTAAGAGTAAGAAAGAGACTTGATGAGCTGTGCTAGTCCAAAAACAAACGTGGTGAGACCCACCTCAGTGTCCTGCTTGTCCACCTGCTCCCAGCTGGCTTCGGAGAACAGCTCTGTGCTGCAGCGTGACAGACAGTTGGGGTCCATGTTGTATTCCGAGTCTGTTATCAAGGTCTGTGAGAAAGAGACTTCAGTCTTTTTAACGAGTCAGGTACCGCTTGATGGTCCAAGCACTAGCTTCTTACCAGTTCATCTCCCCCGTTTCCGTTGACCCGATAGGAGCTGGCGTGCTGCTGATTTTCCAGGCGATTCCACAGCTCCTGTACCTGCTTCTTCAGCGTCTCCACTTCGATCTGGTGCCCAGCTTCAATCTGCCTAAGTCTTTGCTGGATGACATCTGTGTGCAGCATCAGCCCGTCGTCATCCAGGTGGCTGCGCGACGGCTGCTCTGGGCTGAGAGCGGGCCGGCCCAGTTGGGCGTGGCACCAACGTTGTTGCGAGCAGCTGCCTCTGTGGTGAAGAATTAGGGAGTTGCAACTTGCCAAGGACACCTGACGGCTCAGCAGGGTCCGCTCGCCATTAGCTTTGACCCAGTGAGGTCCTCCGCAAGGTTCCCCGTCAGAACTGTCACTGTTACAAAGTCCGTCGCGTGTGAGGTCAGCACTTGCATACTGAAAGGCACTGACAGAGGGTCGCTTGCTGCCCCCGTTCAAAGTTCTGATAAAGCTGTGTTCGTCGGTCTCCAGCACTTTGTCCTTCCTGGAGGGAGGCGGGGGGCCCTTGCCATTGCTGCAGGCCTGACGGCTCTGACAGACAGGAGGCTGTGCGGGGAGTTCAAACCTGCCGCAGACCTCCTCTGTTAAAGTCTCTGTGGAGCTTTCCATCAGTGAGGCCCTCTTCTCTGCCTGTTCCCCTAACTCTGACAAACCTCTGTCAGGGTCACAAGGAGGGCAATTTTCCTCATCGCCTTCAGTTTCCTCAGGTGCCTGGTGAGCAAAGCCGTTCATCAGAGTTCTTTGAGCTGCAGGTGGCTTTGGCTCGCCTGAACTTGAGTCAAGGTATTCATGAGCATGTTCCAGCTGTACAGAACAATTCTCCAGAGCCTGCTTTGTCGTCAGATGTTCGAGTGTTTGGGCCTCTTCATCTCTCAGGTGCTGCACCTCTTCTGCTGTCGGTGCAGGAAGAGCAGAAGAATCAGGATTCTCTTCAGCCTCTGCACAACCATTTTCCAAATAGTGACCATTAGCCAGCACTTCATGTATCTCATTCTTGTTGACAGAGTGATCACCATCAACATCATTATCATGATCAAGAGCATCAGTTCTTGAGCCCGTCTCCTCCTCCACAACAGCTGCGTTAATGACGTGGGTGACAGCAGCACTTCCAACTCTCTGAGCATCTGCTTCCATGTCCTCCTTAGTAGCTTCTTGAAGAATGTTCTCCATCTGGCCCGCGGCCACACCTACCGCCACAGACAGTTCCGCCTCCTCAGCTTCCTCTTGAGTTGTTGCAGAGTGCATGAAGGCTGCCTCAGCCAACTCAGAGTATGACTGCTGGGGATCCGGGCTGGCATCCAGCTCAGAGTCTATTCTGTTTGCGTAAAGGCCTAATCCATTACACTGCACATCATGATCCTGGTCTCCACCTTCATCTGGCCCGACTGCCATGTTGAGGTCCAGAGAGCGCCGGTGGTCCTGCCACTTCTCATTGAGGCTTGGGTCGCTGGAGCGGCGGTTAGGAGCCAGTGAACTTCCCAGCTCACAAGCACTTGGCAAATTATCGAAGGAGCGTGTCTTCGTACATCTAAAAGGGAAACATGCAAAGAAAAGATTTTTAGAACACAACTGCACATGAACATTCCTGATGAAACTTGTTTTAATCCACATAAAAGTTCGTACACCATGAAACCCATTACTATCAGAAGCTAGCAACAAAAAAAGTGTCATAAAAGACAAAACATTTATTCCTACTCTAAATTATTGAAAATGCAAAGTAAAAATCCAAGCTTTAAAGTTCTTGGGGTCTGTCCACTAACTCTGACATCTCAAGAAAAAATATTTTGTATTTTCACAACCATAAGACCCACATAAAAGTCTTAAATTTTCTCCAAAATGGATGGGGCGCCTAATAACGCAGGTCGCCATGTGTATGCACAAAGTTCCAAAATCCGTGAATGCTGTTGTGTGACTTCGATGAGGGGACTGACTGATGTTTTGCCGACATGTTGCTTATTTGGAGCAAAGGCAGACGTAACTGGCGACAGCATGTGGACGTTTAAGTGGGAAGGGTGGGCGCTAAAGGCATACCCCCACTAAGTGTATATGGGACATGCACTGTGCAAAACATCTAAAAAAATGGCACCTTATGAAGATTGTAGTAGTTGAAAAGTAAAAGTCTCCAGTGGCGCTTTATACTAGTAATGTATATTCATAAAAATGTTCAAGAGTGATCCAATATTTGGTTAAGAAACAAGTTAATAGTATGACATTCGGAATAAATCCCTGTTGCTTTTTCCTGATGGCACCACAGCTGTCAAAAGACATGAAATAATCACACAGTGTGTGAGTGCGACGGCCTCACGAGAGCAAAATGTGCAAAGAAGAGGTGTCGGCTTCGGGAGCCCTCGACTGGAGTTTGTCTTACATGAGATAGGAAGTGGGGTGGGGGGTTCTGTTTCCAGCGTGCCAGGCTCACCTGCCCAGAGGTGCCTCCTCGGAGTTGCTGCCAGGCAAAGGATATGGCGCACAGGAATCTTCAGAAGGGGTGGTAGGGGAGGAGCTGGGCAGGTAGACTGCGGTCCATAGCATCAGATTGCGCACATGACACACTGGGTGGAGAACCTGCAAAAACCAATGAATAGTTACGGCTGGGTAGAAATGGAAATAATCGTGACGAAATGCTCGGTCATCTGGGATGGACTCTGAGTCAAGCCACGTTGAGAGGAGCCATATGAGGTGGCTCAGGCATCTGGTTACGATGCCTGCTGGACGCTTCTCGGTTGAGGTGCTCCGGGCACGTCCTGCTAGGAGGAGGCCCCGGTGACAACCCAGGACACGCTGGAGAGACTCTGTCTACTGGCTAGCTTGGGATCGCTTTGGTATTCTCCCAGAAGATCTAGACTAAAAAAAAGGGGAGAGGGAAGTCTAGGAATCCTTGCTCAAACTGCAGCCCCCGTGACCCGACCCCGGGTAAGCGCAAGAAAATAGATGGATAATATATCTGTAGTTGCTTCTGTAGTTAATGCACGGGGGGAAAATGCTAGTAACATGACAAATAAAGCACAATATAGTAGGGGTGGAAAACTATATAATAATTTTGGAAAAATGTCACTGACATTTGCTTTTTCTTCAAGCGCATTTAAAAAAAAAAAAAGACTAAAATCAAAAATCTGATTTTTGTGGGGAAAAAAAGGCTGTACTTCTCCCAAAAGACAGTGCTGTACACTAAGGAGTGTGCCACGTAGTGTACGTACAGTCTCAGAGTGTGAGGAGTACAGCATGTTCCTTAGTGTGCGGTTGGCAGGTCTCAGCAGGGACCACACTGAGCATGTCCTCTCTTGAACATGTCGGTCTTCCCTCTCTTTGCCGCTGTTACCCAGGAAAGTGCCGAAGAGACAGGAGTATGCATGTTGCACCAGCTTCACCTGCATACACACACACAATTCTATCTATACATATGTTGAGACTTGCGACCACACATCAGGAATGACAAGAGCGGGGGCCACCGAAGTGCTAAATACATATCTAAATATATCAGGTGTTTAGATCTTTCTTACTTTTATTATTTTAATCCATCAACCAAAATTTATGAATGACTTCAGTGAATCTCCACAACACTCAACCAGCTATTTGTGGAATATGACTGGAATAATTCGGTTTGACATACGCACCAAGAAGGCCTCGTTAAACTCAAAGGAGCATGGAAATTGCCTCTGCAGCTGGTGAACACAGTCCAGCCATTGCAGGAAGACAGGACAGCGCTCATTAACATCCTCTGAGTTTTCACCATGGCCACATCGGTCAGCAAACTTGTGGCCGAAGTCCAACCAGTCCATCTCAACCAAAACTTGGAAGCCCTACACAAAGATATGCACAGATCATATATAATGGAACTTTCTACACACACTTTGCTTGAGATGAATGAGTTTAGTCTTAACAGAATATGATAGTGGAAAAAAATGGAGCCCTCTCTGTAGTGAGAATAGCATTTCCAGTTGTACCTCTATGGTGCGGTAGTACGGGTCAAGCAGCAGCTTGGACAGTGCAACAATTTGAGGTGTCCGGTCCCAGCCGTCAGAGCAATGCACCAGAACAGGCCTTTGGTCCCTGTCCACTGCATTGACCACCAGCAGGGCTGCCTTTAGCAGCAGGGACAGGTGTTGCAACCACTTTGTGCTCTCCAGTGCAGATAGCCAGCTGCCGGCAAACAGACAAGAGCAAAGACATCATAGGACACATCATCTTTGCAGAGTTTCTCCACTTTTATTTTTAAGATCAACAAACACATGCACATATTAAGACAACGATAACCCAACCAAAGCAGCACTCTCTGTTCATCACGTGCGTAAAGGCAGGAGGACAATGTGTATTTATTTCAGGCACTGTCCATGCGGTCGTGGCTCCGAGCCAACAAGCAGCATGTCCGCTACATTTCCTCGTTGTCCAAAGTGTATTTTGTGGCCTCAAAAGACCAAATGGCATTGCATCTTTTCCATTGAAAGTGGAGTCTCACTCTGTAGCTTTTTTCCCCCCATCGCAATATGGCTTTATTCTTTCTGGACCAACTCTAGTATAGATGCAATCCATTGGGCGTAGGTGTGTGAGTGCAGAAAGCTTAGTGCAGTCTAATCCAACATTTACACAGGTTAGAGTTGTATAGTGACACGTTTAACGCAAAGTCCGGCGCGCGCACACACAACCGCATGCCATGATGAGCAACAGCCATGATGGACCCTAACATGAACGAAATAGAAAAATAACCGCGCACACACAACCGCATGCCACGATGGACCCTAACATGAACGAAATAGAAAAATAACCTAACTAAAATTACTGCCTACCTTAGTGGGAGACCTGGCACAAGAAAGCAGGGATGCACTTTTGTAGCATTTAAGTTTTTTAAAAATAAAATGCATTGCTTTTATGTAATTATTTTGAACCTGAAATTATTTTCATAAATAGGCTACATCTCAGTCCAATTCAAATCCTTACTGGAGTAATGTATGACTGATTCTGAGAGGGCAGAAGATTTGGAGACAAAATTGAAGCAGAGCTGAGATATGCAGATGAAGTTGGGTTTCGAGGTTTTACGCCATAGGGTGACAAAAATGTGACAAGGACAACCGTACTTTGTTGGATCCGGCATCTGTGTGCAGAGGAAACGTAGCGACTGGAAACTCTTGCGTATGGAGTGGATGTTGGCCATGCCCATGAACACCACCTCACAGTTGGGATAGTATTCTTTAACACGGGGCATATAAAAATGTCAAATTTAGGAAAGCAAAAACTTGAAATCAAGATGAAAAATGAGCTACTAAATCCACAGTACACGGAAAAAAGACGAGGCCTACCAGGACATTCACAGCCTCCTCCCTTTGCCCTGTTGGCAACAGCGGCTGCGTAGGACCTGGCATCTAGAATCAGCAATTTGTGTGGCTGGATGGCCATTGTCTCCACTTCTGAGCTGTTGGTCATTGAGGACTCTGATACAGTCATAAACACATCAGCATTACAGCTCAGGATAATTCAGGATATATTAAACACGGGGGGGAACTGTATAAATGAGAACAAAATGAATGGTTAATACAATTTAATAACTCCAAACTAGCCGAGCTAAAATCCTCTGGTCGTTGATAAAAACACGTTGCTTGATTTCCATAACAAATTTTCAGCAGAAGTGCACAGCACGTTCTTAAGAAGGTGAAATATTTATTTTATGATTGACAAAATTACTACACTATATACAGTGGTTTAAAGACAATCCTTTTAGAGGTTCAAAAATTTAATTGACAAATAATAAATTCTCAAATTAAATCAACTACTTTGATGATTAATTGTTTTGAGACCTTGTTTAACTTAAAATTGTTGAGATCCTTGGAATGTCAACTTCCCAGTTGGAAATATTCAGATTCGCTAGTCCTCCATGAAAGCAGACTTAACGAAATCAATTCAAAGGGCATTTTATCATGTTTTTTTGTTCAGAATCCAGGTATGTTTTTATGTTTTTTTTACCGGGACACTTTCTAGTCCCACGACACAAGGCTAAAAATAGATTCGCTTTCAAGCTCACAAATACACTACGGCAACACAGAATGAAGGCGGAGTGAGCGAGGTCGCGTTTGCTGTACTGACTTTCTATTTATCATACGTTATCATACATTATTGAAATTGTTTTGAATTAGTAGAAATCAAAAGAATTTGAAGCCGTCGGCTATTATTACGCTGCTTTTTACAGATGTTTTCGAATTTTGCTGTGAAATCATTTCACGACAGGTATCAAGTCAAATTTTGTGTATTGCGACAACAACAGGGAGGTGGACATACTTTAGAAAACCAATTTGCCTCCTATAATGTAACAATGTCAATGTCCCAAATCAGTCTCTAAGGTTTTGAAATGCATTTGAGCCTGCTGATTCAGGCCCAGACAAGTTGGATTGCGCAAACTTGCCTACCACAAACTCATTTACCTCAGAGGTCGGGGAATCCGTGTCGCGTCAGATAAAAGTCTGTGTGTGTGTGTGTGTGTGTGTGTGTGTGTGTGTGTGTGTGTGTGTGTTTGTTTTGCCTCCTGTCTCAATAGTAGTAAAAAGTTGTCAGGCAGACTGAGTGAGTCCTCACCAAAGTCAGTATCAGGCAATTCGGAGCCGTTGACGTAGGTTCCATTGGGGAGGTGTTTGTGAGAACTGCTGTCCACTGCACAGGCCTTGGCAATGGACTGAACTAAGTGCTCATCATCTGCATTTCGCCAGCCCCACCAGCTGACCTCTGGCTGGCCGCAACGGGCGATCACAGCTCCTGTGCTCAGGTGCCTGAAGGTATGAATAAAGGAATATGAGCAAGGAAGAAGCTAAAACACAAATTGATCAATGCTCTATTACTGTACAGTGAAATTCCTCTATAACGAAATCATGTTTTTTTTTCACAAAGGGGGACTTTTCACTATAGCAAATTTGGTCTCAGACGTAAACATGAACACACACAAAAAAACGTATCTGTGTACTTTTTATTTTTATTCCAATAGTGCATAAGCATCAGCATACGCTTATTTGACACTTCATATAGCCAGCGTAGAAAGGAAAAAAAAGGGAAAGAAATTGTGAAATTTACCATCAGATTTACTTTCACTTACATCAATTTCTTGCATAATGTCTTTTATTTTTCTTCCTCCATCTTTCATTTTTATTATCTTTATCCTGTCTTCAAGCGTTAAAGCTTTTCTTTTCTTAACTCCTTGGTATGCAAAGGTCCGTTTTGTCGCCATTTTAGCAATGCAACTTTCATGCTGCGTCTGAAACAAATACTTCCTGTACTACTGCACATGTGTAAACCAGTGTGGTGGTTGCTGTTGCCTTTTTCGAACGAAGCAGTAGAGGTCGCTGTGGCATGCGGAAGGCTTGTTTACGTTGTAGTGAATCTCGTTGCGAGGCAAGAGCAGAGAAAAAGATTTCGTATAATGGAACTGGGGGACTTTTCGTTGTAGGGGGAGCAGAAAAGTTGGAATGGCTTTCATGCATGAAAATTTTTTCACACTAGGGGGTATTTTCGCCCATGAAGGTTTCGTCGTAGAGGGGTTTCACTGTAATATAATTATTAGTACACCAAGGTAAAATATAGTCCCCAGTAATTGCACAACTCTCAACCAAGTGATCTCCACTTCTTGGTGGTGGTGGTGAAACTTTTTAAAGTTGTCTACATCAGGGGTCCCCAACCTTTTTTGCCCCACGGATCGGTTTAAGTCAGACAATATTTTCAGGGACCGGCATTTAAGGTGTGGCGGATTAATACAACAAAATAATATGGTATGAGCTGCATGAAAACTGTGGTGTTTTCGAAATATAATAATAAACACAAGGAGCGTCTAATCTGGTCGCAACACTCTTATCGCTCTGGTAATGTTTAATGCCTTCAAAATACGATACAACGTTTGTTTTAGTCGCCGTTGCTGCAGAAACTCCCCACCTCACACAGGCAGGATGTCGGAAATAGCAACAGTGCTATTGTGGTGATCTCAGAGTATTCAGCCATAACTTTAATCCAGTTGTCTCGAACGTACTTTTAAGGCCGCCATCATTTGCGATCTCCAAGCAGCTTTTTTACTCATTTTGCGGGCTTCAGCGTTTTGTTTTTGAGCGTCATCGGTCACGTGACCGAGAAGCGTGGCTTGACGTGTGTCAAACGTGACACAGACGGATATAACGGAGAATCCGGTAATTTTTCAAAATAAAACATCTTTCGTATTCCGAAATAAATAAAACGGAAATAAGGCAAGTTCTTTCTGTGCGGCCTGGTATCAAATGCCCTGCAGACCGGTACCGGTCCGCGGTCCGGCGGTTGGGGACCCCTGGTCTACATGAATACTGACCTCAGCCTTCGAGACTGCACACAGTCAATAAGCACAGTACACAGAAGAGGAAGCTAGAGTGTGAAGTTTGCCATTTAAAGAGGACCAAAACCAACTGACCTATATACCACTGCAGGAAACCTCTTCCAGGAACGGAATGCTGCCACATTTTCCAGTTCCTTGTCAGTGATCCAGGCCGGTACAAGAAGCTGCTGGGGATAGCTGGGGCAAAGCCTGGCAACACCAAGGGGCACACAGAGAGGCGGTAAAGTCATAGCATAAAAGAAGGCATCGGACCTGACTAAATGTATTCGTGAAAGCTCAACAAAAAGCTCGGTCGACAGACATCTAATCCTGGGCTGAGCCTTTTTGTGCCCTGTGTGCAGCACCAGTGGAGAACAAAACAACCACCACAAAATGTCTCTCGCACGCTGATCTGCGCTGTACGCCAATGAAAGCAAAGGCTCGAATCAGTAAGGCATGCTTATCAATGGAGCAGAACGGTATGTGTAAAGCAAGCTGCCTTCACCTAAATTTGCTGTTGATGTCAGATATCCTCCAGGCATTTTGAGTGTCAAAGCCCATCCTCTCCACCTCATTCTTGAACCAGGAGGTCACATGTTCACCTTCAGAGCAGAAAAATCCGATATGGCGAGAGTGCTTAGATGCGTGCTGTTATTGGAGGGTTTCAGTTTCAAATCTGGGCTACCTGGTCTGCAAAGCTCTCCGTGCTGCTCCTTCTCTCCGGCGTACACATCCATGCACCAGGCGTGAAAGGCGAATGAGAAGAGATCCTCCAAGCGAGAGGGGGGGCGCACTACTGCATTGAGACGCTTCAGCCATTCCTGACATTGCTCGAAAGTGGAGAACTGACACCTGGGAATTCAAACACAGAAAAAGCTAACTTTTCAGTTGGTTTCTTTACTGCACAACAGAAGTGTTTGCTGCTCTGGTAATCTTCAGAATAACTACACAGACGACTAGCCTTGGATGTTGATAACGCCAAAAAGATGCTACTTATTTTGCCAAATAGAGCCCTAGATGGTGAACTATTCCTGTGAGAAGGGAGTGGTGCTGTTCACACTGGCTTTGGGTCACGTATGGGTGTGTCGCCTCTTGCCTTACCTAACAACTTTACAGTCCTTACAGGTGACATGCAGCTGGAACATATCACGACACTCCACACACTCAATGAGCTGCAGAGGCACCTGCAAAAACACAAGCAGTCAGAAAGTGTACATAGGGAAACGCCTACAACTAATTCATCATCATTGGCCAAGGTCATGACATTAGACGACTTTCATGCAAACAATGAGCTGCAAAGTAATGCACCCACTTGTAATTGAAAAACGAATAGATTAGTCGTCACTTAGCATTATCATGAATGTTTCACACATTTCCCCAAAGCTCTGTTAATACACAATCTACTTAAGTATGGAGGCAATCAAATAAAGCACCTGAACAAGACTGTGTTTTGATTTCCATTTTAGCCTCGAGCCATCCAGAATTAGAATACAGTAATACACAATTGTTGGACTGGCTGTAGCACATGCTTTGAATACTTTATGGAAATGCCTAGCCTGCTTTGAAATAAGCTTTGCTAATTTACTAGGACGACTTTTCAGCCACATAACAGGCTCAGGCTGCTGTTTGCATGCAGTCTGGATTCATGCATGATCGACGGCCAGTCATCAGTCGGCCAAGTTTCAGCAGCTACATTGTGATGACAGGCTTTCCGTCTCATGGAGGCTTTGTTGATGTAAATGCATTGTTCGAGACTTGCATGGTTAGTGTTCTCACACATCAACCGTCTCATTTAATTTAGCTCTTGGACTTAAACATGGTCAATAAGAAAGTCTTATAGGTAGACACTATATTTCATAAAACCACCCCACACCGTGCATTTCGGTTTGATACTTACTGACATCTCACAACAACAACTCTGATCCAGGACAAGACAGAAAAAAAATAACGTAAGCAGTGCTCGATTGATTTGTTTAGTCACTATTCACCATCTAGAAAGGGCTGCAATGGTTTCACGTTCCGGCTGACTTTGCATCATGAAACCACAATTTAATGTCACCTCTCTAATCTAAATCGCTAATTTGGACATCATCAAGAATCGGAGGCTACTTGCTCTTTTCCCGCACTTTCGGCTGCCCACGTGGGAGACTGCCATGTGATGCACATACTTTGCCAAACGGTCCAAATATGTGATAGAACATTGGCTGTCTGACGTGAGCAAAGAGGCAGTAGGTCATGATACCTACAAATCAGTACGGCCCCAAATACTCTAGACCTGCGGGCCAAATAAACAGCAACATAAAACACACAGATGGATGCTTCTGGTAAAAGCCAGCCCACATCAGTTCAGCAAATCAACAAGGACAGCAAAAAAAAAAAAAAAAAAAATTGTCTGTTATGGCATTAGAGGCATTCAGCATCTATTATTCTTTGACAATCATTTCCTCCAATTTCAGGACATCTCTTTCCCTCTCACTCTCTCAATGTACATTTTACTGTACAGTGAATGGCCACACATCTGTGGTTCAACATTCGCAAAGTAAATTGGGGAACTTACATGCCGATATTTAATTAAAATCTCAGTTATTCGTTGTGGGGGGTGGGGGTTCAATAATTATTCTCAGACTTGAACTATTCGCGGCAGGGCTTGGTGGCCCTTATCTATCTTGATGAAGAGTTGAGGAATAGCTGCACATGATTTACACTGCCTAATCGAAGAAAATGACTGAGTCCACACACTATATGTCACAAAGTGAGGAGCCACCAATATACCGCTCACTGTCAGAGCAGCCATCTGTGAAACTTTCATTTTTGCAACAGAGTTGTGTGTGACTTCTTTCTCAAGGTGTCAAAAGTTGATAACTAAACGGTTAACAATTTAATCAACAACTACTGTAATAATCGAATTGTTTAGAGACATTGTTCAACTCAGAATTGTCCAAATCCTCAGAAGTCATCCTTTCAAAAGTAATTATTCTGTGATTTTGTCGTCTTTGAAGAGCGCAGACTCATTATCATTTGTTTCATGAAAATAAGATGTGTAAACATCTACTTTTAGTTGGGAAAACAATGAATGGATCCGTTTCAAAAAGATTGAGGAGTACAAAATTACTCCCTCTGGAGTGATGTTAGTTAAGTGTTAAGTTTTATTATTAAGAGACAGCAAATAAATAACAATACTGTAATTGCTTAACAGTAGTTGAGGAAAACAATATGTTCTGTAACACTCTTTAAAGGAAACAGATTACTCGATGGAAAAATGTTCAGAATAATTTTTTGTAAAAAAATTCCACAGTGACAGCCCTACTCCTTTCACACATTGGGTCCCATTCGCTTGAATGAGAGGTCTCTAACCACCAGAGCGGAGCATCACCACTTCCCTGGTCCCACAGTAGTGGCTTGTGGCAGCTTCAAGCTGCTGCCAACTGGCTTCAGACGCAGAGTGAAGACGACGAGTCGCTGACTCGGAGGAGCAGCCAAGTGAATGAGAGTGAGTCCTCCATTCAGAATGAAAGAGCGCTGGCGGCGAGCTTTGCGTGCCGCCAGCGCTCGCGAAATCACTATCGCGTTAGAGCAGGGGTCCCCACCCGGCGGGGACGCACAGAAAGAACAAATAACTTACATTCCTTCCGTTTGATTCATTTTGGAATCTGAAAGATGTTTTATTTGGAAAAATTGCCGGACACTGTTATATCAGTCTACAGTATGTCACTCGTGACCTAGGCGAATGCGTGCTTCTCGGTCACGTGATAGGTTACCACATAAAAAGAAACAAACATCTTTGAAACGTTTTTTCGGGAAGGGGAAAAATATATTTAATATAAATGCATTTATCTCACAGTGTTGGGAAGTAGATATTTATTATAATATTATTGTAGCAGTAGCAAGACTGTGAAGGTGAGTTACACCCTCACGTGTGTGTTAAATAACCATGTCACCACATTTGAGTGCTGATCTTACAACACTTCAACAGAACCTTGAGTAATTCAACATTAGTTTTTATGATGCCTTCTGCTGACTATAATTGGGAACTAGTTTTCCTGCTATATCGAGGGAGAAGTGAAACTCGAAAAACGGGTCATTGCACAACTTTCCTGCCGTGACAAGTTGGCGGGAAGGCAGAAGGGTTATCTGAATGTAGCACGTTTGCTTATCTTCTATTTAGACTTTCTGAACACTACAACAAGCACTGACGATATTTATAAAATGTGCATGCTGCCAGAGAAGTGAACTGAAAACGTTTGCCATTCGAGTTGCAGAAACATGAAAGCGGTTTAAAATGTCAAAATACACATTTGTAGTGGCACAAGAGGATGTATTGTACAAAGTCGCCATGAATTGGCAACAAAGTGAGCTTCCTTTGTAACTGCTGAAATGAGAGCAAGGGAGAGCATGACTGTTACACATCCCCGCTGGCACAACTTCAGCCATTAAAACCGCTAGTGCAGAGAATATACAGTAATCCCTCGCCACTTCATGCTTCACGTTTTGCAGGTTCAATACTTCAGGGGTTTCTCCAAAATACTGTATTCATAAGATAAGATAAGAAAACCTTTAGTTGTCTTACAATGGAGAAATTCCCATCATCATAAATAAATAAGTAAATCTAAAATCAAAAAACTTATTTTAAGTACAGCCATATTGCGGAAAGACACGTTGTTTCATGTTGATGCGTGAGAGATGTTTCCATGCATGCCGAACATAGAGCCGACATGACTCAGAAGCTATGTACATGCCTGTACTTTACTGTACTGACTGACTACATGCCACGGGCACTCAAACAAGGCGCATGATTGGTTCCCGGCACGACATCAATCAAAATGAGAGCGCAAGTGGATTTATCCCATGAGTTGATTGGCTGCGCATCATCGCGGACTCACCCAGCACTTCCCTTGTTGCATCTCGTCACGCTGTTGACTGTCTTTGCATACTGTGTCTTAGTGTTGTGTTTGCGTTAACTTTTTTGTTTAAGCAGTAATTTTACAGTGGAGGAGGTATTCATGCAGCGTGTAGGCACATACATGCACTTGAACGGCAAGAAAGTGAAAGGGGTGTCTGTGAGTTATTTAGGATATAAGTCAATCCATTAGTAATTAGCCGATTCAAGTTATTAAGGCTAAAATTATTATTGATTTTATAAATAACTGCAGTTTCAATACATTGTGCATTTTGGGTAAAATGTGTGGGATTGACTTTTTTTCAAAGGTTGATTTGTCATTATTTGTTACCACCAAGGGTCTGAAGATGTTCTGAATTTGTTTTCAGAATACACACAAATTCCAGTACGAACATTTGCCGCACAAATTGGTGCGTACGCACGGTCAGTGAATGAGGTCCAACATCCCCACAATGCCTCTATCCATTCACAAAACACTAGTATGGCAGTACTCTATTTGGACACTTACAAATGTAAACCCAGGTGTGCTACATGTTTGCTCATCAACTATCAACCTATCTGATCAACTCCATGACTTTTCGAAAGGTACTTACGTTGACAACAGACTGTTTGAACTTGATGTGTAGACGGTAGTTGGACATTGCAATGATGGCATCCTCTGCCCTCCCCACATACTCCGTGAACTCCCCATGCAGCTCAGGAAAGGGCACCTAACAACAGCATGAGATTCAACATTTCAAAGACATGCGCACAGCATATAAATCATTTGATTGGCTTTATAATTTTGCCACACTTGTGTCTCACCGAAAAATTAATTTCAATCATCTAAGGTTCATGCAAGTGGAATTTTGTTTTACTATCAGGGGTATTCTGGTAATTTGCAAAAACCATAAAATGTCTTCAACATTCCCGTCTAAAAGTATTGGAAAAATGATGCCAATCCTTTATTTTCAGACTATAAGTCACACTTTTTTTCCCAGTTTGGCTGGTCCTGCGACATACGTATATATTAAAATTAGAGCTCAGACTTGCACCAAAAATCCCCGTTCGCTAATCATGATGAAAGGCTCCAAACGAGTCCCACTTGGCTTCGAAGCTTCCTCTTCTAACTATTTAGCAAGTAGAAAGCAACGCTCTACAGGCTTTTAGTCTTCAGATTGACCTGGGTAGACTTAACCTGGGGTGCCTTTACCTGCATGTTTTCTTCCTCCAGGACAGGGGATTTCTTTGGGAAAATTTGACTGGCCTGGATACACTCCGAGCTCTTCTGCCCCTCCTCCTCCTGCACACAAAAAGACCTGTTACGCTTACTGAACTTACATCAAGGTAACAGCCACAAGCTTCTTTCAGATATTTATTGGGATTTGATATGGCTTTTGAAAGGCTTGACAGAGAACACTTGGCAGACAAAATGATAAATACATTCACAGTTGGTCCACAAACTGTTGGGGGTCACAAGACTTACTTAAGACTACTTTGGCCAGAGCTGTAATTTGGAAGGGTAAGGGAACCATTATTCCACCACTTTCTTTGGCCTTGATTTTTGAAGACGTAGCTAAATGTGACTGACTATTTTGTTATCTAATACTTGCAAAGTGTCTTGACCTTGGCACTGAAACAGAAAGTCATTCCAAAGTTGTATTTATCCTGTTTGGAGTGTCGGCTGCAACTCACCTAACTTGCAAACCACTTTGGCTGATTTACAAAAAAGACTACAAAAAATTTAGATAAGCATAATTTGAACACTGCGCACAGGGAAAAAACAAGCGTGGCTCGTGACAAAAATGTGTTTGACACCCCTGATCTAAGGAATGCTTCCTCAATGGCATGTAAACGTAAATTGAATGTTCCATCTGGTGCACTTTTTCAAATTAGCTGCCTGTTGATGTACAGATGCAGAGGAGAAGCCTGTTCATTCTCAAGGACAAAAAGATGTGGGTGGGTGGGGGGTGTCCTCCTGTTAGCATAATCTATGCTGCCTCGTTGAGTCAGAATATTGTGTAGACAAAGATGAGAGTAGTCAAAAAGGCAGTCAGATAATGGACAGTGTTTCTGCCTCAGCATAAAATGTTGGTCACTAATCTACACTACTGGACACTTCAGAGTATTCAAAGACACTCGCACTATTTGGACGATTGCCAATGTACCGTAATTACTGCACTGTTGGCCACTTTACATTGCTTAAAAACTGTCTGTACTTCTGTGTTCTATCCTAAAAGTTCATTTTGTTGTTGTAGTTTCTTGCTGTAAGGCTGTAATACAACACTGTCTAAAACAACCAGAGACCAATTCCTTGTGTGTGTTTTGTGTGTTTGGCCAATTAAGAGGATTCTGATTCTGAACAGGATAACAAACTGAAAATAAATAAATAGGAGGTTGCCCTGCTTTGACAACAGCCTGAGGCAACCTTTGACTCATTAGTAGCTGACATAACTGTCTGCTTCCTGATAAGTATTTGAAATCATTTTTTGATTGGGAGGAATGTCGGCGCCATTTGACTGTCGTTGCTGGACATCCACGGGGCGCTTGTGTCTTGCGCCTGAAGTAGGCAGCATTTTCACCGCCCCGCTTTGTTCAGCGAAAAGGTCAGTGCTGATGGACAGTCTGCGGCTGGATGGATGCATGGATTGAGGAGCCGACGATGAGAAGAAAGGAGCGTCAGCATAGAGCGCCGATGCGTATGTGGAACCAGGAGTCACGGCTTGGAATTGAAGCGGATTTACATGAGACAGGAGAAGAGAGCCAATCTCTTTTTCGTTAATGGATGCGACAGCTTCTTGTTGCTTTCAAGCTTAGCTTGTAGCAGGCGTGTGCACATTGCAGCATGACGTCTTTGATCCACTGGTGAAAAGGACACTTTGATTCGCTCCTCTTTCATCAATAACTGCTTCAGACAACAAAGTGTATGCAGGAAGGTGGTTAAGATTGCACGATTGTCTGTGTCTCATGTGTTGTCTTGTATTATTTTGTCATTTTTTTGTTAACTTTTCTTTTGATGGCGGCGCGGACACCCGCAGCGGCTCCTCTTGTTTTATGTTGAGAGGGAAGAAATTTCATCTGTGCTGTACAGCACATTTGACAATAAAGTTGTATTCAATTCAATTCAATTCAATTCAATATAGAGTTTCCAATTCTACAGAATGCATGCCGGATCTACCACAAAGCAGTGAAGAGAAGGAAGAGTACCATGGTGCGGGTCACCCAACTGGGAGGAAGCCTGACCTGGAGGAGCCTGTGTGAAGCAAACACATTACATCATGAAGCAATATGGAAGAAACAATAAGAAATCAGACAGTATCGTAGGACAAGCTCTTCACGGAGGTTTTGTATTCCTTCATTGGATCATGTTTTGATGCAGGTCAACAGGGCAAAGGAAGAGTGTAAAGTGACTTAACATGGGATAATAGTGCATGCGGACATTATCATGATTGGAATGGTTGTCCTTATGGCCACGTTCACATTGCAGGGCGTGAGAACCAACTCAGATGGGTGGGGGATTTTTTTGTGTTAAATCTGATCTTTTTATGTCCTCGTTCACATTGTGAAAACAAATGCAACTTAGTATGTGAACAGAATGTGTTTGTGACATTGCAAAAAAAAAAAAAAAAAAAAAAAATGAACTGAGCACTTCAGACAGCCATGTAACAACACAGGCCAAAAAAAAAAATCAGATTTGGGTCGCATTCGCCTGCAGTCATCTTACAACCCGTACCACACTGAGCAGCGAAGGTTTGTGAGTGCTTGCGCACAGTCCAAATATTATTATTTTATTTTTGTCAGGGTTCGTTCAAGGTCACCAGGCGTTGACCAACAGTTTAAATCGGCGCAAACAGTTTTTCTTGCCATCAGATGTTCCTTGAAACAAGACAGTGCTTGCAGCCATTAGAACTGTTGGTGACCGTTTGCGTCTTCGAACGAACCCTGACGAAAAACCAACATCCTCTACTCTTGCAAATACTTGCAAACCTTTGCCGCTCCGTGGGATACAGGCTGAGTGTCAGCCCTGTGATTGACAGGTGATCCGTCCAGGTTGTATCCCCCCTCTCAAGCAAAAAAAAAAAAGTAAGGTGGGAAAAGCTCCAGCTCAAGTATTTGACAATATTTGTTTTGAATCAAACAAGGAATGTGATTTTAACTTAGAAACTGATTTACTTTGTTGTTAATTAAACATATCGTAAACTTGCTAACTTAATAAATTAGCAGAGGCACAAATAAATGTGATCGACTCACCAACAAGAGTCTTACACTGTAAGGCGACTGACTGGCTTACACTTTGGAAAGACTGAAGACTTGAAATACTATGGTGTGGTCTTTTTAACTTCGAAAATGAAATGACAATGACCTGAATATAAATCTTTGATAATGTTCAATGTGGTATGATGCAACAAAGTCACAAGTGCATTTATTAATAACAATTGCTTGTCTTCATCCACCTTTATTGCGGTGCCGATGATTCAAATTTATGTTTACTTTTTAATTTCTGCATGTATTTCTAGAGATAGTGTCTCGACCAATTCATTGCTTAAGTAGTGCAGTCCACTTGTTTACATATCACAGTTTTATGCGACATGAAAAGATGAAGTGATAAAGCACACATTTGTTTACATTGTTGTTGTGATATGACTTAGGACATGCCGCACTTTTGGTTGAATTTTGTGAAGTTGTCATAATGAATCTTTCAAAGGTTGCCAGTCAAAATGTTAGCAAGTTAACAACTCTGAGTGAGGTAGATCAACTGTCTTTCATCTGAATTTGAGGTCCAGTTGCCATTCTTTTGGCATAAGCCTAACCTAAAAAAAAACGCATTTTTCAGACAATAAGACGCATTTAAAATCCCTTCGTTTTTTTAAAAATCGATAGAGTGCCTTATGTGTGGCTGGATGTCGGCTTTTCAGTTTGTCGTCTTTAATTCAAATTCCTTCCTCTTAAGGTTGCATTTTCATCTGCATTTAATCACTAGCAGGTGTCTTTATGTTTTTGTCATCGTGGAATGACAGCTAGTTCCTATTAGCCTAATGCTGTGGTCATACCGAACACAAGCTCAGCATTTTTGGTGGCACTTTTCCAATGTTACAATGTGCAACCGAGAGGGAAATGACACAGCCAGCTTTCAGTAGCCGCTGGGACTGACTGAAAAAGGCTGGATAATGTTGAGTGGATTGACTTGTTTGCAGCTGTTGAACCGGGTCCACCAAGATAGCATTTAGCATTAACTGTAGTAATCACACAACCAAGTAGAGCTGGGCGATATGACGATATATATCGTGAAGGTGATTGTAAAGGGTTTCTTGTCACTTTTCACCTGCATTGTCATCCACTGTAAAATGCAAGTAGCAAGAACGACAGTGCAACTTGAATTGACAGGCAAATGTTTTTCACTTCCAATTGTTTTGCAACACAGTTGCCCCCAGGTGGCAGACTGAACAACAACAACAACAAGAACGTGAATCATATTACGTTGTTATCATACATCCCAGACATACTGTGCAGTAGTAAATCTAATCGTTCATGAAAATTAAAAAAGGTGGGTGAATCCAAATAACGAAAGGTACCTTGAGAAAGATTGAACTAACAACAAACCCATAATTACTAATTACTACTTAAAAATAAATAAATAAATGAATCTATATGGTTATGCTGGACTGGGCACTACTTAAAATTACACAAGGCACAAAATAAACTGTTAAGCATAATGCTTTCCAAGTCTAAAATTGCATTTTGTGCTTCACCAAAACACAAAAAAACAGCATAATTGTGAATCTAGATTTTAAAATTTTGCGTATAATTGAATGGCGGAGACGGCATGTGCGTAGTCTACTCTGCAGGTCAAAATTATCTTACAGTGGAGCTCATCTTATTTATTTTATTTTTAAGAAATTTCTGTCAGCAGCATTACTATTATGCATTTTATTTTAGACTGATGTGTACATTTGTGGGGGAAAAAATATGTAGGCTACTTTGCTTTTGTTCACATTCACTGTATTTTCACGACTATAAGGCGCCATTAAGTCTTAAATTTTCTCCAAAATCGACTGGACGCCTTATAATGCGGAGCGTCTAGTGTATGCGCTGAGTTCCAAAGCCTGACTGAGAGCAAGTCTCGCCGACACGCTGTTTATAAAGAGAAAAGGCGAACGTGAGTGACGACAGGCATGCGGAAGTGCGCCAATGAGTGAAGGGTGGGCGTGTAAGAGGACGCTAAAGGCACGTCCCTAGCAGGTACCAGTCGCCAATGAGTGAAGGGTGGGCGTGTAAGAGGACGCTAAAGGCACGCCCCTAGCAGGTACCAGTCGTGTGAGTACATTGTAAAATGGCTAAATAAAGTTCAACCGAACTCAGTTTTGCTTCCGTTGCCTTTTTAAAAACGTGTTTTTAGCGTGTGTCCGTATGTTTTAGCTGCTACCGTATGCTTTAAGCTAACATACCTGGTATGTTTTAGCGTGCATGCATGCTACCGTATGCTTCAAGCTAACGTGTTTTTAGCGTGCGTGCATGCATGCCGTATGTTTAAGCTGGCGTATATTTTACCATGCCTGGCTGCGCCCAATAATACAGTGCGTTTTGTGTATGTGTCAAATACAGAAATAGCACCCGTTACTGAGACTGCGCCCAACAATACGGTGCGCCGAATGGTCGTGAAAATACGGTAATCATTTTAGATAGCAGCACGACTGGATGTATTTCTCATATCATATAGATAGATCTGTTTAATCTCGCTGTAAAAGTGGGTTGTAATGATAACGGCAATATCACAATATTAAAATTGCCACGAGATTGTCGTCATCATATCACGATATTAAAAGCACCACCTGTTAAATAGGCCGGGTTATTTTCCATTCGTGCAATTACAGCACCCTCGGGTGGTTAGTTCATTAGTGGAATTTCATTTGAATTAGGCATATTTTGGCCACCTACGTTTGAGTTCCTCCACAAATTGACTTCATTCACAATGTGTGTGTGCATTAGTCAAGTCAAGTCAATATTAAGGGTTACTAGCTGGCAACCAGTTCAGGGTGTCCTCGGCCCACTGCCCGAAGATGGCTGGGATAGGCTCCAGCACGCCCCGCGGCCCTTGTGAGGATGAGTGGATCAGAAAATGGATGGATGGATGGATTAGTGTTATCAGCCGAACAGAGCATTGTAAACTACACAGACCATATTTTGCGCTGCTGAGCCAATAGGAGCACCTCACAATAAAACAATTGGCCAACCGCATTTCTTTGTCACTGCTGTTATGGGCAGAAACATAATATTGTGCTTTTTCTTCCATTAAGTTAAAAAAACGGTTGACAATATTGTATTATTATTAATAATTATCATGTCACCAGGTTCATATTGTGATAATATTGTATCATGACTTTGGATATCGTTGCATTCCTACTTCAAAATAAATTGAGAAAATGGAAGCGGTCATAATATGTTGTGTATTTTTTTTATCAAATATTTGAATATATATCGTGGTATATCGTTATTGTGATATAAAATGGCTTTTTCTTCCCCACCCCCCATTGGCCAGCAATACAACTAATGGTCACCAGATTGACGAGCAATGTTTACATTTTTTCCATCGGTCGGAGGATCCCCTTTTCCGGGAGAAGCAACCTCCAAACACACGATACAATTAGAATAAAGTACCGTATTTTCCGCACAAATAGGCGCACCTAAAAGCCTTCCATTTTCTTAAAAGCTCACAGCATGCCTTAAAATCATTATGGTAATATGTCAAACCCAAAACGGCTCCTTGCTAGAGACATGCTTCCAACACAGAGTTCAGACTTAAGGCGATCGGTTTCGCAGTTGAACACGGAAATAAAGCAGCGGCAAGAGAGTTCAATGTTAACGAGTCAATGTTACTTGCTGTTGGTTAAGTGAACTGTGTCACTGCTTTGTTAAATAAGTTTTACTAACATCTGATCGTTGCTATATAAATCAGGGTGTAGTGTTCTGTTGGCATTTCCTTGAGTGTGGCTACATCTAGTGGATGCATTGTACATTGCGTCTTATAATGAGGTCCGTCCAATAAATGAAAAAAATTACAAAATAGGGCATTCATTAAAGGTGCGCCTCATACTCCAGTGCGCCTTTTAGTGTGGAAAATACGGTATTCCAGATACAACGCTTCACAAAGACAATGTGTCTTACGTATGGAACTAGACAGGTCCATTGATTTTGTGCCAAATAATATCCATTATCCAAATCGATTATCCTTATGAGGGTCATGGGCGCGCTGGAGCCTGTCCCACCTGTCTTCTGGCAGCAGGCGGGGTACAACCTTTGTATATCCAATTGCAATCGCAATATTAAGGAGGAAAAATAGCAATTCGGTTATTTTTCTAATTCGTTTCGTAAAACTGGCGATGGCTTGAAAAACGGTATAAGAAGATGTAATATTGTTTGGTCTTACCACAAACAATCAGTGATGGAGAATGAGTAGTCCAAATGATCCTGTTCAGAAGTTCACAATTAAGACATGGAAATCTATGGAAATAAGGGCAAACAAACTGAATTAGGACAAAACTCTTAACCAACGTATTTCTGTTCCTAATTAAGCAGATTTTTAGCGTTCCTTGTAAATATCAATGCATTTCTGTTCAGTGACACACATGGGGAAAAAGCACTAGGCAAACCCAGTCATCACATCTTAAATGCTGGATGGCATCAATTTCATTATTGAAGCCTCACCTTACCAGCAAGCAAAAAAAAAAATTCTGATGATGTTCATCACATGCAATATTTTCAAGTGAGCCTTACAAATAGTTAGGGAATGAGACTGAAATGTGATCTGGACAGGTCAGTGACAGCAGATCTGGCCATTGACAAAACGAAAGGAGGGGCAGGAGACACGAGGCCGTGTGGTGCGAGGAGGCCAACGCAAGTCAGTGCTGCTGGCGGAACCTGATAAAGCCTATCTGTCGGTCCCAACACACAAGACTTTGTTTACTGCATGGGCTCATGATCCGTGGCTGCAGCTCAGTGCGGCCCGGAGTTCAGAGTCACACAGCTAAGCCCCTTAGAGCCTTAACGGCGCTTCTGTCCCGTGACATGCCACAGTGCATCACAGGCTGCAACACAAGCCCACAAACAAGCCAAACATACGAACTGGTTGTTGGCGAACTTCAGGAAGAACTGTTGATCGAGGCGACTGAGTGGAGTTTACACTGCAACGTTGACGGCTCGACTTTGCGAGTCCAATGGCGGCATTACATCACGAAAAATAGATACAGTTCACCAAAGAATCATATTGCAAGTCGACAAAACAATTATATTTAGAAAACAAGCTCAGTGCACTGTGGCGTTACATTACCATTACACGGGAAAAGAAAACTATTTGCAGGCAAAACAGGGGGGCATCGCTGTGTTTGACTGTGTTAACAGGTTGTGTTAACAGTTCAGTCCAAACGAATACCTGTACATTGGGCAACAAATGCAACATTACCATTATTGCATATCTGCACACTCGTTGGCCGATGTTTACGTTCATTCAGTGTTCGAAGAGTGACCGTCGCCGAGAAGTCCGTAAAATTGCTCATGCTAATGAGCTAATGCTAACGCCCATCTGGCTACACGGATTTTAACAAGACAACCGCAAAGCGAACTTAAGGAACAACATTATGCCATATTGGCCAGCGTTTTTCTTGCTTACTTACACGCGGCTGCGGCCAGCCAGTGGGCTGCTCAGCCCCCAAGAGCCACCGCAGCTCTGTGCAACTGTTGTTGTTGTTGTGAGATGGAGGGCGGACCCCAAAGCCGAGGCCTCCGTCAAAACACACCACCGAATGACTACAAGCCGGTACACTCACCAGTCAAACGAGCGAGGAGACGCTTCAATGCCACAGAATCATCCGAAACCCGTGCAGTTGACGAGCAGAAAACGAAACCGCGGCGAATAAACGTAAGTCATGTCCGAGCCGAGGCTAGCTTGACTGTGCCCCTTTCCAGTACGGAGCCAACGTCGCCATTATCGCAAATTCTCCAAGCCCAACTTTACGTGTTTATGACGTCATCACGCCAAAGCAATGGCAATGGGCGGGGTTGGGGCGGCTCTCGCACCATGCGGTGCAATCATGTCAACACGAACACTATTCTGCCCAAGTTTCCAAAGACAGTTCTGATTGTTGGTGTCAGAGAGCTCTCGATTATGTTTTCTATTGCGCTGCAGTTTGCAGTGGTGTAGATGCACTGCACTGGGATGACAACTGCTTCTAATATTTGGTTGGCGCAAAAAGTTGCGGCATTCAATAATATTTTATATTTTAAATTTGGTAACTACTGTAATTGAAGTTCGTATAAGAATAGCCTGGGGCAGAAACAAACGAAGCATCGAAGCTTTGGGCCGAGCGGTCTCTAGGGGGCCACCAAGAGCTACAAAAGAGGAAGAACACCATAACATGAAAAAGTAGGGGAAACTGAAATTGTTTAGTTAGTATGTTTTTAAATAAACCCTTTGTACATTTTGCCATAGATTTAATTGAAATTTACATTTGTTTTTGAACTACTCTTGCATTGTTTCAGTTGCCCCTGTTCAGTTCATGATTTGCTTAACATTTTAATGCTTATTTTCATACTCTGTTTTTGAGTATATTATCCAAATATGTGATTTTACATAGTGTCGCACTTTATTGTTTTAGCTGTTGCAGTTTTTAATGCTCGGCATAAGTATCCCACTTAGTGCTTTATCACCTGCAATGATATGTAGTCTGCTGTTATGTTTTAATTTTTATTATTCTTATTATTATTCTTGCTTATTGCAACTACAAAAGTGGAAATTCAACAATGAATGACTAATAATTAGTGTTATTGGCAGAAATCCAGAGCCCCGAAATCAACTTTTGCTCAGAACCATATGGCGGCTTGGGCCAGCTCTGGATCTCAGTAAGCTGCAATAAAGTTGTTGTCGATTACTATCCAACACACAGTGTGAAAGATGCTGTGTGATGGTACGACAGTGACAGCAAAGAAATAAAAATGACCTAAAGCCACTTAAACAGGGCCAGTGAGTTTACAGACCATGTGTTATGAGATAATAAAGCTGTTCCGATTTCACTGAAGATGGGCATCCAGTTGTTTTATGAACAGAAATAAAAACACGACACAGCAATGTCTTAAAACAATTATGTATTGAATGATGGCTTACAACTTCATTTGCGAGAAGGTACGTCATCCACTCTTCAACATTGAATAGCATGGTGTGAGTTCTTCTTGACTCATGGTTGACTTGCAAGGGATATTGCAACAAACCTTCAACGTTGTCATTATCATCCCCATATGCACAGCTGGGTGAAATTGGTCCTGAAAAATGTAATAGTTGTGTATTCTTTTTATTGACTATTGTCAGTTAAACAAAACAAAACATTACGACTAAGTATTGTTTTCCAAAAAGCTTTGCTTTTGTAAATCCCATGGTTAAAAGCCAAAAGGCTCTGTAATCACACCTTATTACAATGCATTTCTCCTCTGAGGATAATGCTTGGGGTATGTATAAGATATGTCACAAAAAAAAAAAGATTTTAATATTTATATGACAGCAATGTTAACAGGGTAGCTAATGGCTTGTTGTCAGAGTGGATTCATGATGAAATTGTGAGCCAAATGTATCAGCTGCACCATGCATGGATTTCACTACAGTAAAAAGACTGATAAAATGTCGCTGTGCAAGACCATCACAAAAACACAGTCTACCCGTTGTTATGAGATCTAAATGAAAGATTTGCATGCAAAACAATGAGATTTTTATGAGAATAACAGCAACGTTAAATATATATTTTTTTCTGCCACTTGTCCATGTTTCACCACAAAAGTCCCTCAAAGAGTAATTGTACATGATTTTCTGCACAAAATGATGGTATGAAGGCCAGAAAAGCATGTTGGTGGCTCAACCCCCCTCGCCCCCAGCAAAGTCACTGTTTTCAAAAACTCAAGCCATTCGCTTCGCACTGGTCATTTCAATCTATGATCTTTGACAGGGGTGTACAGAATTTAATTGCAACAACTGCTTCCTGAGAAAGTTGCCATTCCCATATTCTTACAACTTCAACAGGTCAGATTCTATCCGTTATTCCCTATAAGACATACTGTATTTGTTTGTCATAATCATTGCCATAGAGGAGAAAAACTGTTTTGAGGACAGACTACCCTGAGAAAATGTCTTAAAACGTGGGTGAGCTTGTTCAACCAGCACTGGCATGGAGGGGTTTGGTTTATTAAATCTGTACTCTATTGAATTAGAATCAGCACACTTTGTAGAATTGAAGAGGTTATTTAGAGTAATTGTGTAATATATTTCTCTACATAATAGAATCCAAGTCTTCTGACCTATGAAGACATGTGCAAGTGTTTACTACCAACTTCAACAATACAGTCGAGGCAAAGACTTGTTGACACTAAGGATAATGTTGATATTTGACATTTTTCTTGAGTCCTCACAATTATTAAAATCTAAGTGCTGTAAGTAGTTCATACACGAGGTAATGAATATCTAATTATGGTTCAGAGTATAAAATAGAAGCAAAATACAGAAAAGAAGATTTTGCAAGCATGACAAAAAAATATGACACACAAAACACAACTGGTCAAATATAACGTACGGGGGTAAGTGTAACCGTGTGCATCCCAGAATAAAATGTACTCATCGTTTTTTTTTCACCCCAGATTAATGAGGTCATTCTGAAATGATCATGCTCTCTGTAGTGTCATAACATGCGTTAATCACAATGTCGATGCTTTCGAGGTTGAGGTGTTTCATCAAGTATACATTATTATTCTAGCTACAGTACAATATCCATTTTGAGAAAGTGCACTCAGTCAGGTGTTGGCTGTGAGGAGGATCAACTCAAAGAAAATAAGATCCTTTCATTGAAAACCAAACAAAACTCGATACTCGTTTGCATGTCAAATGCACAAAGGTCAAATGAGTTGTTTTGCTCCATTTATTCCAACAAGCGTGGATCATGTTCATGTGCGACATGTGTCAGAAAAAGTTCCTAGACTGGTGTCAAAAATGATATTTCATATCCAAACTACAAGTTTCCCCTTCAAAGTACCGGTAAAACCCCCCGCCGTCGAACACACTTGACCAGACTTCACTGTCACATTTTCTTGCACTTGTAAATCTTCTTTAATCTTAATGGCGTCCACATTTCCAAAATGGCTCCTTTGGATAGCTTCTTTTGAGTTTGGAAAAGAGAGGGGCGTAATCCCAGGATGGCCGAGTACAGACATTGCAGCGATGGTTTCTCTTAGCTGGGAACTGCCAGATGTGAGGACATTGTGAGCAGCCACAAATCTCGCCTCTTCTTGTACGTTGAATGAGGCAAACGCCATAGGATGTCGTTGTCGACGTGCTGGTTAATCTGACCCACAATGAAGAATTTTTTTTTTTTTTGGGAGGGGGTATAAAATATATCTTTTGTGACACCGGTCCTGGAAGTTTTTTAAACAACCAAGTATAAGAATTAAACACATGGTCCCCGCATGATGTGCATTTAGATAATCTGAGGTCAACTTTGTCTCATGTGTCTTGGTCTGTAAATCTGTGAAACAAAGAGGGAACTGTGAAAGAAGAAACGGTATAAACTGTGCTTGGGTTTAGTTTATGACTCTCATATCAAACTGGCTACCCAAAGCACAAGGGTCTTCAACAATAAATCTGCACAAAAATGGGGGAAAATGTTGTCTCATTATATTTGTCTCTTCCTTTGTTGTTTTTTTTTTTGTGAGATTTTCAGCATTTTTTCTCTCGTTTCACTCAAGTATAAGCACAGGAGACTAACTACAAAGGATAATGGGGTCAAGTGAGTACCATGCTACATCAGGTTTCGAGAAGGCTATTGCAGACGATTCTACAACATGTACAACCACATTTTATACGTGTGTTACAAAGAGTTGAAAACATATCACCAAGGAATTAATTACAAGATGTTGAATATTTAGAGTCTTAAGGGACTATTTCTTAGTCGGTAAAAGGATCACATGTGAGTTGACTTATCAGTCCAGTCTTAAAGACAAAATCTGAAAAATTGCTATTCAAAAAGTAGCAAATTTGGTCAATGTCTCTTTTCAAATAGTTATAGTGCTTTTTCATGGCTTTAAGACAGGGGTCTTTTTAATCTCACCCAGTGGCAATCTACAGGATTTCAGTGTACATCTTTATGACACCATAGCTGCAAAAGTATCCATGTCAAGTCCAAGTAGGTAAAAGGACAGCTTGCTGTCATACATAGCTCAAAGTGGTACACATTAAAAAAAAAAAAAAAAAAAAAAAAAAAAAAAAGGAGAAAAAACACACATTTATAAACGTTCGTCCCCAACCTTTAAGTTCTTGAGAGGAACTGAGCAAATGTTTGCTCTGTGTTGCCATTTTCAACAAGTTTTCACTTTGGAAGAAGAGGCCTATCAGGAGCTGGGCTCCATTCCAAGTCTTCAGGAAGCTCTTATTTGCTATACTGCAGCACACTGAAAAGCTCAACAGCACAACAAACAAGTTAGCGGAGACTTAAAACTCCCATTCCAGTGTTTCTTCTCGATTGGCTGCTCTCTCCAACCTGTGGATGATATTATTGAGATTTGCCATTTTCTCATTGCGTCTCTGAGTGTTTCTGTTGAGCTTGGGGCTTTGGAAAGAAGGGGGCGCGTTCGGGTCCAGGCTGTGATTGGTGCTTGTTGAGGGCGGGTTCGGCGGTGACGGGGATATTGGAGCCGAGGAAGAGGGCACGGGAGAGACTGACATCATGATACCTGGGGAGGATGCAGCAGAGGGGGAGTTGAGGGAGACCTCCAAGCTGCTGCGGCAGGCTTCTGACGAGGCCTTGAAGCTGACCGGGTCAATAGGCGACTTTCCAGAGTCTTCCCCCTCATGCCTGGACTGATTCACTCTCTGGGGGGCATCTATAGAGGTGGTGCTAGTGTACACGGGAGCCTGACTGCTCATCCCCTCTTCCTGCCCCACGGTCTGGCCAGCCATAAGGGACTCATCGTGTTCACTTTTATATTGTGGGAATTGCGCTGCAGTGGAAAAACACGAAGCTCTCGTTTCTCTCATCGAGCCCTCTTCCGCCACCTTCCCCATGTTCTCTCCCTCCACTGCCTCCTGTTTGACGTAAGGTAGCGCAGCGTTGCTGAGAGGAAGGCTGTTGTGGTTTTGTCCTGAGGGCTGCTGCAGCCTCCTCTCCTCTCCGTCAGAGTGGGGGCTCTTTGTTAGCAAAGGCGAGTAGTTCTGGTGCTCAGTATCAGTATCGTTGTCTGGCAGACCCTCCATCAGCACCTCACGTCTCATCCTGGACCTGAACAACACATTACTGTTAGACTTGAAAAATATTATGCTTATTGTCATTTTAAGTGCACATTTTCTTCTGGATCCAAAAAGAAAATCCAACAGACACAGTCCAAAAGCATCCAAAACCATATTTTTTGTTCTACTTTCCTATGTACAGTTGTGTATAGTTATGGCAAGTACCGTATTGGCCCGAATATAAGACGGCCCTGATTATAAGACGACCCCCTCTTTTTCAAGACTCAAGTTTGAAAAAAGACTTTTTGAACAGCAAATTAATTTTTATACAGAAAATAATTACAGTACATCTGAAACAAATGATTATAACAATATATTTGAGAGAAAAAGCATGTTATTTTGCCTCATTCAAATCTTAAGATCTGAACATTTAAATATGTAAACTAAAGTGCAATCACATTCGTAAATGAATGGCTTCTGGTTTTTGAAATGTAAATTACATCATAACTTCTCCTCAGCTGCCGGTTAACCTGGCCGATCTTCGACCCACTTTTCTCCAGATTGTCACTACGTTTCTCCATTTTCTGTTATCTCTTCCATTATTTTCTTCTCTTTTCTTTCTTACGGCTATTTTTTTTATTTTTTCTTCTTCGTGCTACCGCTATTTTTATTTTTATTCTTCGTGACAGGGGTCTTTGGCCTGGGGAGTCAAGTTCAGCATTCGCTTCAATGGTATCTGGCGCCGTCTAGCGTCGTGAATGGGTATAACGTCTAGACCCCGAATATAAGAGACCCCCACTTTTGCAGTCTTATTTCAATGCAAAAAAACACCATCTTATGTTCGGGCCAATACGGTACATGAAAACAGGAAAGGTCATCAGTAAGCGTTGAATCAAGACTGGCCTGTAGTTGTGAAACCAGTTGATAACAGTGTTGGTTTTGAGGTGGAGCTGGGCAGCTAGCATCTCAATGGTATTCTGAGAGGGGTACGGTTCCAAGAGGTAGACCTTCCTCAGGGCTTCTTTCTCCTCTGCTCCCAGCACTACTCGAGGCTTCTTCACCTGACCGTAGGAACACAGGTCCAATGAAGCTAACGCTGGACTCACACACTCAGAGCGAGTACTGGGCGAGTCACTGTCTGAGCCCGTGCTCAGTAGCCCATAACGCCTCTTCAAGTAAGCTGCAATGTAAACATGTAAAATCAGAGAGAGAAAATGAGCCATATTACTCGGTATGCTGGAAAATAATGCAAAATATCAAGTAGTTGACCTTTCTTTTCCATCTTCTTCATAGCCCTCAACTTTTCCACATTGTGAGGATCATTGAGCCACAACTGCATGCGCACAAATGGCTCCCTGCCTTTGAGGCTAAGTTTGTGCCAGGGTTTTGGCCGGGACAGCAGATCTGACACGGAGCCTTGAGTCAGACCCAAAATTGTCTCCCCAAAGAGACGCTGGCCTGTAGAGAAAATGCATATTAGATGACTGCAGTCCTTACTACTTTGTATGCGATGGCTACGAACATTGAAATAACAGACTCACCTAGGTTATTGTCTGTTAACACCTCTTTTACTTTTTTTGTGATGGCGTAGGTGTCCAGCTCAGACGACATGGCTACCAGCTCCTGGATGCCAAGTGGGTTAGCAGGGTGATGTAGAGCGATGAGGTTGGTGGTTGACTTCCCTCCCTCGGGCTGTGGAGGCAGCCCCAGGACCAGACTCTCAGGCTGCTGGTTCTCCTTACTGCTCTCCAGGGAGAGGCTCACTGGTTCAACCAATGGACTCGGTTGACCCTCTGTTGGACTCAGCGGTGGGGACGGCGAAGACTTCGTGGTGACTGGGCTTTTATCTGAGGGTGACAGCAGATTTAAAAATAACCCTTATTTAGAGATGCCAAATGTTCCAGTTTGTTCCTATTTTGGTTTCAACCAGTTGCCATGTGTTCGGATAACTCGAAAATGTTCCACAGAGGTGCGAGTAAGAAGGTATCACAAGCTACACGTTCTTCTCTCCAAAATTTACTCATCACATGGTGGCGAATAAGACTTATTTCTGACAAGAACCGTTTTCATGAAGAGAGGAACGAGTACCAGTAGTAATTATTATCAGGAGAGGATCACAAAACCATGCTAAGCCGCTGAGCTATCATTAAATATTATAACATCGTCTTAAAAATAAAGGAATAAGAGCTTGGCGCTATTGTACACTTTTCACTGAAGTACTGCTAGAAACACACACACACACACACACACACACACACACACACACACACACACACACACACACACACACACGGATGAGGTCCGCAAAACGGAAACTAATCAATATGTTATTGCATGTCCACCAAGAGGAGATGCCTCTAATCATTAGATTACTACTACTACTACTACTACTACTACTTTTTGCATTAGAACTTTTTGCATTAGAGTCTAATGCAAAAAGTATATTCATAAATAGTATATCAAAGAGTTATAATAACAGCAATTTTAATCATCCATTCCCAGGGCTGTATTTTTGATGTCTTTTAAGGATCTCGGCATTCAATCCCATTTATGCATTTTTATGGTTTATGTTTTTCTCATGTTTGAATTAAAGGAGAGCCTGCAAATGGCCGGCTTTGAATGAGTTAATTGTTTGAATTTGACTTTTGAAATCCACACAAAAAAAAAATCCTCAAAATTATATATCTTATTTTATTCATTAAAAAAAAAAAATCTATCTTTGCTAAAGACCATACACTCCAAAAAACATTTTTTGTCCCAGTAAACATAAAGCATTATTTCGAAGTAAATTCTCTGCATATGCCCCGCGATTGGCTGGTGACCCATTCAGTATAGTGTCTCATGCCCAAAGTCATCTTGAATAGGCTCCAACACAACTGCGACCCGAGCGAGGATAAGCGGTACAAAGAATTGATCAATGGATGTACTTGAAAGTGACAAAACCAAATGTTTATTTGAGCAAATTAATTGAATAAAATGCACTTTAAAGGGAATATTGCACCTTGAATCTTGCAAGAAAATATGACAAAAATATAAAGAAAAAGTGTTGTTCAGAGACTTTCTGACGGCATGTGTTTGTTTTGGTAAAACACAAATATTCCGAACAAAATGAAAATGTTCCTCACAAATGTTCCTGAGAGGTGATGATAGGGGCATTTTTCAGTTCAGACTCACCATGACCCTGGTGCGGAGCTTGGTTGAGGGTTTGGCCTAGTTGGTCAAGTAACCAGAGCTGCATGCGGATGAAGGGTTCCCTGCCTTTCTGAGTCAGCTTGCTCCAGGGTTTGGGCCGTGACAGCATGTCGCTCACGCTCCCCTGAGAAAGCCCAAGCACCTGCGCAACATACAATCATTTGATACATGACTCCACACTGCATGAAACACAAAATGGTGCAAATAGTGCAACACGGATTATATTGAATGGTTGTTTTGAAATGATGCCATTCCAAAAAGAGCCACTAGAGGGAAGCACAGGACCATGAATCTGGAAGAAGTCCATTCTAATTAGGCCATGAAACTTGGTAGCATCCCAGTAGGCAGGTAGGAAGCATTTTTTTAAAAAACATTATCAAAGATTCAAAATGAGAGCAACATTAAAGGTCTTCAGAAAATTCAAGAAGGGTTGAAACAAGATTTTCTGAAGACAGTATTGTCCGTCCTAATTTATTTTGCCACATTTTCAATCTACAACTGAAAAACATTTCATTAGTGTTGAGGATGGGCGTCTTTATTTCAAGGAAAGTATTTGAAAAAAGTAAAAGCATGCAGAAAAATCAAATTCTCATCTTAAATTTTGTAAATTCTTGTGGAGAGCCACTGACCCTCGACGTGCAAATCTTGCACGAGCGTATTAGGCGAGAATTGGATTCATTCAGGAAAGGAAATCCAAACACTGTTTGAAATGCAATTGCTTAGGCGCAGACTTAACCTATCCACTTTTGGTGTAGAAGCAGGGCTATATTTCAGTTATTCATGATGGTGAGTGATGATTCTGACACATTATTTACGAATCATCACTGGGGAAAAGACATTTTCCATTGACAAGGGTTCAAGAAAATTGTATTTTCAATTTGAAGAATTGATGTGAATGGCCGGGCAGCACGTGGTCGACTGGTTAAGCACGTCGGCCTCCCAGTGCAGAGGTGCGGGGTTCGATCTCGGCTCCGGCCTTCCTGTGTGGAGTTTGCATGTTCTCCTTGCGTGGGTTTTCCCCAGGTACTCCGGTTTCCTCCCACATTCCGAAGACATGCGTGGCAGTTTCATGAAGCACTCGAAATTGTCCTGAGATGTGATTGTGATGGCGGACGGTTGTTTGTCTACCCCGCCTACTGCCCGAAGACAGCTGGGAGAGGCTCCAGCATGCCCGCGTGCCTCGTGAGGATGAGCGGATTATAAAATGGATGGATGGATGGATGTGAAGGTCCACAAAGTGATTTTTTTTTCCTGAGAACATCTTGCAAGGCACTACTTTGCATCTTGTATGACAGCACAAAATTATGTCATACTATCCAGCAAATGATTTAAAAGCTCAGAACAATTGCAAGTGCTTAATGGTTAAAAGAAAGCTTCTTATCTTAACCCATATAACAAAATCCACAAAAATATTTTTGCCATATTATTTTGTTTTAGATATTTGTTGTATCACATTTATAAGCATAATGTAGATTACATCAAAAACTGAACATTTGGGAAAATCATATTTTAAACGAGCAGTATCAAATTTGATACAGATGATTTAATGTACTATAAAGAATGAGTTATGAGTCAAATATGATGAATTTAATGAACATCTCAGTTCCCAAAAATCTGATTTTTCTGGCTATTCCTTGATGGGTCAGGCATTAAAGGGTTAAACTCCTCTGAGTGAGCCAGTGAACAATCAAGCAGATTAAAATGTGTTGGAACAGGATGGAGTCCAGCGTTTTGGGGTTTCTTGAAAATGGGAGGGATTCACGTCAACTGACCTTTTCACCAAAGATCCTCTGACAGATGCCATTCTTTGCCAGCTTCTCCTTCACTTGCCTGGTCAACTCAATGGTATCCACCTCTCGGTACATGTACAACTCATACTGCTCTGGAGTCAGTGGTGGCACTGTGGGCTTCAAAGCTCGGGGAATGTACGCCGGATAGTAAGAAAGGCGGCCGGGACTAGGCCCCGGGGACTCGCCACTGACTGAGGTGTCTGACTCCACCTTCACATCCATGGGTCGGCCCAGCCCGAGCTCTTCTTCAGCAGCAGAGGCCTCTTCGCTGAGACACTCACCGTTCTCCAGGCGGGGCCAGGGCCGCGTCAATACAGAGGGACCGGAAGAGGAGGAAGACACGGAGGGGGAAATGGAATTAAAGGGCTGGCAGCTTCCGACACCGAGCCCCATCGTCCCCCGCTCCTGAGACCAGTGCTGGTCAAAGTAAGTGCCGACCTCTCCGATCTCAGATTTTACTTTGCGGATAATATTCTGAACGAAAGCAGCCGGAGACAGAACGCTGAGGGGTGTCTGGGGGCTGCTGATGGAATTGGCCATGCAAACAGTAACACAGCCTCCCTCCTCTTGTTTAATGGAGATGGGCAAAGGTAGACCCCTGGATTGCTCATGGGGCCCCAGATGCTCCACTTGGGCTCCTGTGCCAACTGTCGAGGCTCTTCCACAGCCTTCCATATCTATCAAGACCTGTTGCTGGGACTCCATCTCCCTCCTGGCCTGTTGTAGGATGTTCTTAATGGTTTCATCAGAGCTGCTGCCTGCCCCATTACTGCTTCTGCCCAAGGAGGTGTTCACAGGTGTCTTGCAGTCCCCTAAAGAAGAGAGACAATCATTTAGACATTCATATATACCTTAATCACTGCACCGCCATTAAAATGGATGAAATAATAAATATAAAACATGACTTGTGTTTATTAGCTCCAGACTCACCTCCCCGCTGGGACTGGATCTCCTTCTTGGCCTGCTCCAGGATACTCCTGATGGCGTCGTCTGACCCAGTTTCTGGAGTTCGGATGCGTGGAGTGATGCTCCCTGCCACAGAGGGTAGAAAGACAGGCAGCAGAACGGAGGGTGTGAGTGGGATGGTTGATCAGAGCACAGTTTCAAGGCTTTACTTTTGACTGCTAGATCAATGACTGCCTTTGAGTGTCTGGTGTCTGAGGTTGCTGTATACGGAAGCTCAACTTTCAAACGCTATGAATCTAGGGAGAAAACAAAGTTGAAAAGCAAGACTACAAACATGGCACAGGAAGGCGAGACAAAGTCAAGGATGAGGTCCAGGTTCCTTTTTAACGTACACGCGGCTAAAAAATAAGCCACCCATTGATGACAGGAGTACATATTGGATCGAAAGACAGTAGCTAGTGACACAAGTGGTTACGGAATACAATGGCGGAAATCCATTGTGCAGGGGAACAGTTGAAATGGATGCCTCAATAAGTGGCGCTCATTGAGGCTCTCCCAGGTAAGCAGTAATGAAAGGTAATGACAATTAAAAAGAAAAAAGTGACAATAAACTGCAATCATTTCATAGGGTTTACCATACAGCCAACCCTCACATTTTTGCGGTTCAGCACCCACAGACTCAGCTGTTTGCAGATTTTTTTTGTCAATGATTGAATTCATTTATTTACTTTTTTTTTTTTTTTTAAGGGGGCTAACCCTCGTTTTGCATTGAAAGAGCTTATAGTGCTTATATATCGCCACTTAGCCAATAATTTTGGGGGCTTAAACGAACAAACAAAAACAATGCAATCATAATAAGCCTCATCCATCGATCCATTTTCTGATCCGCTTATCCTGACAAGGGTCATGAGGTGTGCTGGATGTGGGATGCTGGAGCCTATCCCAGCTGTCTTCGGGCAGTAGGCGGGGGACACCCTGAACTGGTTGTCAGCCAATCGCAAGGCACACATAGACAAAAAAACATCCGCGCTCACACTCACACCAAGTGACAATTTAGAGTGTTCGATTAACATGCCACGCATGTTTTAGGAATGTGGGCGGAAACCGGAGTACCCGGAGAAAACCCATGCAGGCACGGGGAGAACATGCAAACACCACAGAGGAAGGCCGCAGCCGGAATAGAACCCTGCACCTCTGCATTGTGAGGCCGACGCCCTAACCAGTCGACCACCGCTATATAAGCTTCAACAGTCATTTATTTGCAGATTTTTGTCCGTCACAGGCCGCCCTGGTCCCGATCCCTTTGAATAGTGGCGATGTACTGTAGCTCAACTAGTGTACTTCAAGAAATTTTACTTGTCTTGCTAGGTCTTTCCCCTTAATCTCTGTACCCTTTTGCGGTTATTGTTTTAGTTGTAGGTATGACTGTAAATGCTGCTTGCTTCTGCGTGTCTTCTCTGCAACTGACTTGACATCAGTTCAGCATGCACCTCACTTTTCACTTGAAGTCAGGGGTAGCCAAGGCGGTGCACACAGACACCCGGTCGCCTGTAGGGAACCATTGAGTTGCCTATTGGAGACTTTCATACAATGCATTTTTAAGTGTCACACCTCAAAGAGCTGACCAGTGAGGAGTATAATGACATTGGGCAGTGAGTCCGAACCGACATTACAGTAAATTGAGCCAAGGCACCCAGTTTATGAGCAGAAAAATCTCATGGCACACCACTTAACAAAAGCTTCACAAAAGGTATGAATACCTTAATAATAATGATCTTGTATCAATTTACACACAACCATTATCACTCTGAAATCTCGTCCTGTTTAATTGAACAAAAATCTCATAGGAAGCCATGACTTATTCTGTTGTATGAATGGCAAGAGTTGGATACACGTGTTTACTGTACCTTCTTCTATCTGCTGAAAGAGCATTTAACTATACTGCATATCACAGTACGTCATTGGCATATAAAAAAATGAACAAAGATATATTGTAATGAATTTTCGGGCAAATTAAGTGAAATTGGATGCTTTCCCACAGCACCCAGATGACACAAGTGGGCCAAGCGCAACCTGGTTGGGAATGACAATAATTGGTATAGTGATCCTATAATCTAAAGTAGGACACGTCTTTTGTTACAAATATTACACAAGATTCAGCGCAAGATGTAAGCCAATGTTGCCCTTGTCACATGTACAAAAGGTTAAATTGTACAGAAGAAATTGACAATCAAAAGTGAGTACCCAACTATTTTCCTGTGACCGCACTCTGATAATGATTGTGAGGCGTGTCATTAAATACTCGAGAGCAATATGCACTCTTATACAAACCTAATTCCAGTGAAGTTGGGGCGTTGTGTTAAACAGAAATAAAAACAGAATACAATGATTTGCAAATCATGTCCCAGCTATATTTAATTGAATACATTCCAAAGACAAGATATATACCGGTATATATAATGTTCAAACTGATAAACTTTATTGCTTTTAGCATATGGCCATTAACTTACAATTTTATGGCTGCAACATGCTTATCAAACACCCGTTTGGAACATCCCACAGGTAAATAGGCTAAATGGGAACAGGTGGGTGCCAAAAAAAATATACGATTGAGGATTACTTTTGCTGGTTTGCCGTGACAATAGTTGCGATCAATGACGGCATTGTCGTTGGCTACCAGCAGGTGAGACGATCTGGATTTGAGCCAAAATGGTCTTTGTGAGATCGGTTCACAATTATTTTTTTATTTTTTATTTTTCCCGTAGAAAAGTTGTAATATGCCGTACATGATTTGAAATGATAAAAAAACGAATAAATTGGGTATAAAAGGAGCTTCCCTGAATTGCTCAGTCATTAACAAGCAAAGATGGGGCGAGGTTCACCTCTTTGTAAACAACTGCATGAGAAAATAACAGTTTTAAGACAATGTTACTCAACCGACAGTTGCAAGGAATTTAGGGATTCCATCATCCAAGGTCCATAATATCTTCAAAAGGTTCAGAGAATCTGGGGAAATCACTGCATGTAAGCGGCAAGGCCAAAAACCAACATTGAATGCCCGTGACCTTCAACCCCTCAGGCTTCACGGCATCAAAAACCAACATCGATGTGTAAAGGATATCACCACATGGGTTCTGAACACTTCAGAAAACCAATGTCAGTAAATACTGCTCATCTAAGATGGACTGACGCAGAGTGGAAAAGTGTTCTATGGTCTGATGAGACCACATTTCAAATTGTTTTTGGAAATTGTGGACGCCTTGTCGTCCGAGCCAAAGAAGAAAAAAAAAACATCCCGACTCGTACGGCCGCAAAGTTCAAAATGCAGCATCTGTGATGGTATGGGGCCTTGTTAGTGCCAATGGCATGGGTAACTTACACATCTGTGAAAGCACCATTAATGCTGAATGGTACATACAGGTTTTGGAGAAACATAGGCTGCCATCCAAGCAACTTCTTTTTAACGACACTCCTGCTTATTTCAGCAGGACAATGTCAAACCAATACTCGGCATGTTACAACAGCGTGGCTTTGTTGTAAAAGAGTCGAGGTACTGGAGTGGACTGCCTGCAGTCCAGACCTGTCACCCATTGAAAATGTGTGACGCATTATGAAGCGTAAAATATGACAACGGAGACCCCGGACTGTTGAACAGCTGAAGCTGTACATCAAGCAAGAATGGGAAAGAATTCCACCTACAAATCTTCAACAATTAGTGTCCTCAGTTCCCAAACGTTTATTGGATGTTCTTAAAAGAAAAGGTGATGTAACACAGTGGTAAACATGACCTTGTCCCAGCCTATTTGGAAGGTGGTGCAGTCATAAAATTCCAAGTTGCTGATTATTATACGCGAAAAAAACAATAAGGTTTATCAGTTCAAACATTAAATATCTTGTGTTTGTAGCGCATTCAATTAAATATAGGTTGAGCACAAATTGCAAATCATTGAATTCTGTTTTTATTGATGTTGAACACAATGTCCCAACTTTTTTGTTTTTTTTTTTGTACATTGCTGTTAAATGTATTGTATTAATTCATTAAAAGGTAAAATTATACATAATTTACCTATTGTTGAGACTGACCATATAGTTTTCATGATGCAAATTTTAATCATTCAGGATGGTTATGTTAATCCCGGAGCGTATGCCCTAACTGTCACAAGGGTTGGTCACACCTGCTTTGGTCTACGGCAGACTCCCGGTCTTTGCCGTGGATAGCATTCGGACCGACCCGCGAATAGCGAAAATCCGTGTGTAACTGACACCTATTGAAATGCTTTGGGAAAGAAAACATCCACATATTCTTAAAAAAAAAACAAAAAAACCCCAATAAATACAGATAATCTATGGTTTTTGCCCCTGAATGATGTGTTTCTGCTCATTGTGTCCTGTCTTCCACTCACCTCTTTGACGGACTTGGATGGTCCGAAGTGCCAGGATGTTCTGCTCATCAGAGAGAAACTGCTTCATTTTAATAAAGGGCTCTTTGCCTTTCACGGTCAACTTCCTCCAGGGTTTGGGCCTGGCAAGGATCTCACTGACTGAGCCTTGGGAGAGGCCAAGTACATAGTGGCCAAAGACACGCTGGCCAATGTTGTGCTTCAGCAGCTGCTCTTTCACCTGGAATGCGATCTCTGCTGTGTCGACTTGGTCATCGTCCCCTGCAGTCGAGCCACCACTTTCAGAGTGGTCACTGGGCAAGCCTGTGTCACTGCTACCGGACCCTTGAGCGGTTGACATGAGGGCGACCTTGGCTGCGTAGAGTGCAGTGGGAAAAGCCATATGGCCCTCCTTTTTAAAATGTGGGGAGAGGAGATGCTTGTGCAGGAGGTGATCCGCTGATAGTCGGTCACCAGAACACGGTGACACAGAGAAGGGACGAGGGAGATCATGGCTGTTGGACGAGCCATCCAGTGTGGGAGGACCAGGGCTCGGAGAAGCCTGACTACCATCTACTTGAGAGGATGATGAGTTGGAGCCGGGTGGCCTGCCTGTCTCGCGACCTCCATCCTCTGACCGATCATCATCTACAGATAGACATTGACGTGTTCGGCTTTTTATTGTATACACGTTATTCTGTAGTATGTACACATCTCATCACAATCTAACAAAAAACAGCTACAAATATAGGTTACAACGTTTTTGAAAAAACATAGACTCGACCCGCAAGGAATGATATAATTATGTATATTTATATGATAGTAATAACTCACAAGGCCATTTCGTACTAACAAGTTTTTAGCTCAGAAGAAGCCATTTTACATTTTACAGCGAGAGAGAACTTCCACATTGTTAACCATAGACATCAGTCAAACCTAATAATACATACCTGTCAACCTCGGCTAATAGCTGCCCTTACAAATGATTACGATTCCCCTTACAAAGCAACAAAAACCCTTACAACGGCTTAAGGCGCATGCGCACATCATGCTTTATCAATACTACCATACGCAGCGATGAAAAAAAATATACGATTGAGGATTACTTTTGCTGGTTTGCCGTGACAATAGTTGCGATCAATGACGGCATTGTCGTTGGCTACCAGCAGGTGAGACGATCTGGATTTGAGCCAAAATGGTCTGTGAGATCGGTTCACAATTATTTTTTTATTTTTTATTTTTCCCGTAGAAAAGTTGTAATATGCCGTACATGATTTGAAATGATAAAAAAACTAATAAAATACGGGGAAAACGTACAAGTTGACAGGTGTGATAATATTTATTGGGGTTGACTCAGTGAATTCTATACCTGAGTGAATTCTAACGGAGTATCAGGATCTTAATTATATTTTAATATTTATAATTCCCTGCAGTACTTTGTAGTTGCTGCAGTTATGATCTTTGGGTATCGACAAGTTGTAACAAAAAAAGTGTTTGTGTGAAAATCCCCACACTGATAGAATAAATTAAGCATTAAAAAAAGGAATAAATATTACACCAGTTCAGAAGTATGTTAAAACCTGATTTGAATATTCTTGTCTTTCTAGATTTCTTTCATTTCGCATGGGACAAATGCGTAGTCTAACTGAGTTGGTCGGTTGTCACTTCTCATTTGCAGCTAGCTCAGAAAATCCGTGTCATTTCAATGGAAAAATAAGGCACTTTTACCAGTGCTGTGCAATAGTCTGGCCTTTTCCATCAGGTATTTGTGAGATGGGAGAAATGCCTCTTTATCCAGTAAAAGTGCCTCTGTGGCCTTTGTAGAGTCCTAAACACACACAAAGACATTGGGGAACATTTTGATTAAATCACTTACAGTAGTTGCTGACGTTCGTTTTAAAATAACACGAGGAAGGAAACAAAAACTCTTTGATAAAGTGGAGTGGAACATGGAAAGGAAAACATACCTGGGATGAGCTGCCATTTGTAGAGGCCAGCTTCATTACCTTTAAGATACTATAGGCAGAGACATACAGTAGTCACAAAAAAAATACAGGTATGTTGTTTATTTTCATTCCAATAGGCAATGATATACATTTGCTCCACAACAAACTGTCACCTGAGTTCGGTTTTAATCTCCTCATAATCCATTTGGGATTTCAGTTTAGTTTCTAATCTCTGAAATGAAAAAAAGGAGAAAATGTTGTTCTTATATCAAATGTATATAATCAGCGGGACAATCATTTTGACACTCACTTCAATAGCTTCTGTTTTGTAGGCCAACTGTCGTTCTAGCTCCATGATTCGATTTGCTGAGGTCTCTTGAACCTCCTGAAGTGTGAACTGAAGCCGCTGAATATTTTCAAGAAGACGGATAATTTCACGGTCTTTCGCAAGCAAGGTGGACTCCAGTTTGGAGAGCAATGCTTCGCCCCTCTCGTTGTTCTCCTACCAATTTAAAGTGACATGGGGGGAAAAAAAAGAGGAGGGGGGTGGATATGCAAGATTGAGACGAACAATCTCCACAGCAGACCGTTGGAAATCATGGAAATATTCGCCTAGTTTCAAGTGGAGCTGGACTAAGTTCCCCTTCAACTTTCAATTTTGAGTTTATGGCAAACACTGTGAATACATGTGTTTATACATACCGTATTTTCCACACTAAAAGGTGCACTGGATTATGAGGCGCACCTTCAATGAATGGCCTATTTTGTAATTTTTTTCATAAATTGGACGCACCGCATTATAAGACGCAATCTACAATGCATCCACTACGCTCAAGGAAATGCCAACAGAGCGATCAGATGTCAGTAAAACTTATTTATTAATAAAGCAGCAACACAGTTCATTTAACCAACAGCAAGTTATAATATCGACTCGTTAACGTTGAACTCTCTTGCAGCTGCTCTATTTCCGTGGTCAACTGCGTAACCCAATCGCCTTAAGTTTGAACTCTGCGTTGTAAGCGTGTCTCTAGCAAGGAGCCATTTTGGGGTCGACATATTACTGTAATAACCATACATAAGGTGCATCGGATTTTAAGGCGCTGTGAGCTTTTAAAAAAATGGAAGGCTTGTAGGTGCGCCTTTTAGTGCAGAAAATACGGTGTGTGTGTGTGTGTGTGTGTGTGTGTGTGTGTGTGTGTGTGTGTGTGTGTGTGTGGGGGTGTGTGTGGGTGTGTGGCGCGCAATGTCTATAATTGTTTTCCAAATATCTATATCTATATATATATATATCCATCCATCCATTTTATTGAGATTTATTTTGATTTTTTGGGGAGCAAATTTTCATAAATAAATAAACAATGTGAATAAATATATTTTTTAGTGTTAGTTATGTGTTGTGTGTAGAATTTGTTACGGTGAAACAACAAAATGTGGAGCGGTGTGAGTGCTTTCCAAATGCGGTGTATGTCAGCAGAAGTGAATTTAGATGGGAAAATAAGTTCAGTCTTGTGTAGGTATACTGGGGTCAACACAATCATTTGGTGTCTTCTCAACAAAACTGTAAAAATGCACTGTGTGTTGATTAAGGCTGTACACGAATCGGTGGTGATTCGAACTGGAATTTCATTGGGCATGGAAAAGCAATCGGTGAATTCAAATTTTCAGACCCGGACCAGAACGTATTTGAGAATATCGTACAACTTATTTGCTCTGACATTCTGACAAGAACTGAAATTTCTGGACTGTCACATATACTAAAAAAAAAAAAAAAAAAAAAAAAGAAAAATTTTTTTGCTTGTGTCTTGTGTGTACTTTTGACTTACTGTGCATGTGTGTAGCACCTGCACATGTGTGCAGTTTAGTTCCACCAAAGGATGCCCTCCTTCATGAGACCATGGGATCCATAATGAGAGCTAGCCTACTAACAGCTAGCTATAAAGGAGGAGGATGGAAAAGGGGATAAAGCTTGTCCCAGCCCGCGAGTATCTAAGGCACGGAAAACCACCCCAGGTTCTACCTTTGGTTACTGTACAGCGAGGGATCCTGGGTAAAGTAAACTATTTTAAACTAACAAGGAAAACTTTTTCGAAGATAGAAGCAGCTGCCAAAAGGGGTCAGCATACTCCCCGGTTCAGGAGATAATTTTCAGTGAATGTGAGGCTTTGTCAAGCATTTTGGATACCATATGGTGTAGTGCTATACAAGTGCAGTCCATATACAATTTTGATCAAATTAGATTTTTCATTTGTTGGATTATGAAAAATTACAAGGAGTAACCATTCAATTCCATTCAGAGGTCATTCCTTACTGTCAACGGTGAAGTGCAAATCCAGATTTAGAGGGTGACTCTGAGCAAAAGTCAAGCCAGTGAAAAAAACATGAGAAGAGTTTGAAGGTAGCCTGGTCAAGTAGTAGTTCAGTTGTTGTTGTTGTTTTTTTTTTGGGTGCAACTGGTATGGGATCTATCCCCATTCACAACTGCTTTGTGATTGATGGGTAATTTGGCCAGGTTGTCGTCTGCCTTTTGCTCTAAATAATGTTGGGTTCTCCTTCCTACCGCAAACCTGAGCAGCAAAAATGAAAACTCAACGAAAGAAACAGAATCCAGATAATGGATGGACGCATGTTCAGTTCTCTTAAGTGGTTTATTTATAGTGAAGAAGAATATTGCACATTGTCAGAAACTTGAAAACAAAGTCAGATGAACAACACAGAATTCTTACCTTACTCATGCCATCAACTAACTGACAGCTCCCTGCAGAGGCATTTGGCCCACTGGCTAGCTGCTCCTTTAGCCGCTGCACTTCCTTCTGGGCCATTTCTGCTCTCTGTGAAAACATTTGGCTTAGTTACAATTGTCAGCCATCTGGATAAGAATAATAATATATGATAAAACAGAAAAAGAGAGGAGCCAGCTGCTAAAATTACTGCCAAGTACGATGCAGCGTAGACATTGGTTTATTCTGCTAACGCAGCTGTTGAGTAAGCTGACTTTATTTCCACAAAGTGTTTACCTCCTTGTCACGCCTTTCTAATTATTGATTCTTTTTATGAATACAATGAGTAAAAACATGTAACAGAAGCTCAGACATCAGAAGAATGGAGGCGTCACCAGGAAACCGAGGCAAAGAAATACAGTATCTAAGAACCCTGGTGTTAAGAGCTCTGGCATCAATCGAGCTCTGCGGTCTCCTCTGCTGAGTGCAGCCATGCTGCTTGCAGAGCGCCCACCGACGGGGGCTCAGGATTACACCCTCTAATCACACACTCAGGGGAAGAGGGGGGAGATAAAGCGGGGGGGAACGGGACAGAGGCTGTCTTAATTAAAGCCAGGGCATGATTACAGGAGTGATTACCCTAACAAAGGAATATCTCAATCAGGGAAGAGAAACACTCACCTGATTTTCCTTCTCAAGCTTGGCCATGATGAGGCCGACTTCTTCTACCCTGGGAAACACAAAAACATGCACACGCACACACGTGCAGTTAGGAATAATATCAATAGAGCAAAACACTCAAATCTGATGCTACGGAAATTGTTAAATGTGGAACGAATGACATTTGGACGATGCAAACTGTGCACTTGATTCAGGTGAACAAATAGTATCAGCGGTTGGGTTTTTTTCATAGGTTTTTGAAGCCTACTTTGAAGTTACTTATCTGAATGAAAAAAGTGTTGCCGAATTTTACCAGGTGTCGAGGAAAATACACTTCTTAAAGTAACAGACGTCTATCCCATTATCTTTTTAACGTGACCAAATTCCACTGTTTTATTACAGCATCAAACGGACCGATGAACGGATGATTTTTTTTTTTTTTTTTTTTTTTTTTTAGTGATTAGGGAGATTTTAATTGCATCATGTTATATATAACAAAATGTACCCTCCAACTTGTCTCCATATATCTGATAATTAGTGTAATTTAAGCAGAATCGCAGCAGGGTTATTCATGAGGTTTGTTTGAAGTTCAACGGTTTCTTTTGCAACATGGAACCTAATTTTTAAAAGGCAGGTGAGGGTGGATTAATATCAAGGATCCTGTGTTCTTCACAAGTATGCATACACGTTTCATGTTTTACACGTGATGGTCCTGCTAGCCAAAGGTAGAATTGCTCAAACATTTCTTTGAATTGACCTAAAATGTCTTCGTTAGCCATAACCGTACATTTGCTCGATTGAATGTTAGCAATTAAAACTTTGACTTTAATCTTTAAGGATGTATGATAGCCTGAAAAGCAAAAGAAATGAAAAGGACTCAGGTTAGAAAAATACAACAAACCAACATTTTATGGTGGAATTAGAAGGATCCCACAAAAATTTTGGGGTCATTAACAATCATGGTAGCGGGGGGGACAACCCTGGTTTGACAAGGTAATGGTTTTGTCTGTGTCCAAGAATAAGACTTGGATAGACAGCACCGTGCTGACAGCACAAACAGGTGTCATCAGCTTCACATCTGATGAACTTGTGCAGTGCAGAAAATGTTTCGTATTGATTCCCTGCTCCATTACTCAAGTCCGAGCAGACAAATAGTGCTTTGTTTCTGCAATGTATGTACATTGCGGAAACAGGCAATGAGAGTAATGGTGGCAGGGCCAGAGTTTAGAGGCTTTTGGTCATGTCGGGGAAACTGCTGCTGTGGGTCAGTAGAGCTGCTGTCATCTGAAAGGAATGTGAACCGGGGCAACAGCCGCACTATGACCACGCACATAAAATACTACTGACTACCTGCTGCACACCGTAATGAAAAAGCAGCCAGTCCAACAAAATAGATGGTCTTGAAACACCACAACAAATGTGCCATGGATTAAGCCTCGGAGAAAATCCATTAGCAGTGGCTGACTGTGCTCTGGAGCACAACCTGAACAAAAGAGTGTTTATTTTGAATGTCTATCGACGTCTTTCATACAGTCTCAGATGCTTTTCAGGCACGCAGGGTAGACGTAACGTTCAAAAACCAGGACATTGTAGCGGTTTTCTGAAGCAATCTTTAAATGGAGCAATTCTTCTTGAGGGCTGTCAAGACCCAACTGCCAGTGAAGGCAAACACAGAGCTCTCTCATCGACCTGCCTTAATGGCTGAGTCATTCTTTTGCATTGCTGTTACAATGGCATTCCTCAGTTTTACACATGACATGAATTTATGTAGGCAAAATAAAGTCAAACCGTTTCAGCACTAAAATTGCTTCAATAACCTACAGTCACGAGGGACCCAGGAATGGCAGTTTGTCGGCCCCGTGTTAAAAGGTTGTGCAGGATGAAAGGAGGTTCCCGATGTAGGTGATAAATCAGAAACAGGTTCTTACTTGTTCGTCATCTCTTGGTTATATTTACACCGCAGGTCGAGCTTTTTTAGTGATTAGGGAGATTTTAATTGCATCATGTTATATATAACAAAATGTACCCTCCAACTTGTCTCCATATATCTGATAATTAGTGTAATTTAAGCAGAATCGCAGCAGGGTTATTCATGAGGTTTGTTTGAAGTTCAACGGTTTCTTTTGCAACATGGAACCTAATTTTTAAAAGGCAGGTGAGGGTGGATTAATATCAAGGATCCTGTGTTCTTCACAAGTATGCATACACGTTTCATGTTTTACACGTGATGGTCCTGCTAGCCAAAGGTAGAATTGCTCAAACATTTCTTTGAATTGACCTAAAATGTCTTCGTTAGCCATAACCGTACATTTGCTCGATTGAATGTTAGCAATTAAAACTTTGACTTTAATCTTTAAGGATGTATGATAGCCTGAAAAGCAAAAGAAATGAAAAGGACTCAGGTTAGAAAAATACAACAAACCAACATTTTATGGTGGAATTAGAAGGATCCCACAAAAATTTTGGGGTCATTAACAATCATGGTAGCGGGGGGGACAACCCTGGTTTGACAAGGTAATGGTTTTGTCTGTGTCCAAGAATAAGACTTGGATAGACAGCACCGTGCTGACAGCACAAACAGGTGTCATCAGCTTCACATCTGATGAACTTGTGCAGTGCAGAAAATGTTTCGTATTGATTCCCTGCTCCATTACTCAAGTCCGAGCAGACAAATAGTGCTTTGTTTCTGCAATGTATGTACATTGCGGAAACAGGCAATGAGAGTAATGGTGGCAGGGCCAGAGTTTAGAGGCTTTTGGTCATGTCGGGGAAACTGCTGCTGTGGGTCAGTAGAGCTGCTGTCATCTGAAAGGAATGTGAACCGGGGCAACAGCCGCACTATGACCACGCACATAAAATACTACTGACTACCTGCTGCACACCGTAATGAAAAAGCAGCCAGTCCAACAAAATAGATGGTCTTGAAACACCACAACAAATGTGCCATGGATTAAGCCTCGGAGAAAATCCATTAGCAGTGGCTGACTGTGCTCTGGAGCACAACCTGAACAAAAGAGTGTTTATTTTGAATGTCTATCGACGTCTTTCATACAGTCTCAGATGCTTTTCAGGCACGCAGGGTAGACGTAACGTTCAAAAACCAGGACATTGTAGCGGTTTTCTGAAGCAATCTTTAAATGGAGCAATTCTTCTTGAGGGCTGTCAAGACCCAACTGCCAGTGAAGGCAAACACAGAGCTCTCTCATCGACCTGCCTTAATGGCTGAGTCATTCTTTTGCATTGCTGTTACAATGGCATTCCTCAGTTTTACACATGACATGAATTTATGTAGGCAAAATAAAGTCAAACCGTTTCAGCACTAAAATTGCTTCAATAACCTACAGTCACGAGGGACCCAGGAATGGCAGTTTGTCGGCCCCGTGTTAAAAGGTTGTGCAGGATGAAAGGAGGTTCCCGATGTAGGTGATAAATCAGAAACAGGTTCTTACTTGTTCGTCATCTCTTGGTTATATTTACACCGCAGGTCGAGCAGCTCAGTCTGTGAAGTATCCAACGCTATTCAGAGACAAACAGTGGCAGGGCATGTTAATCTAAAGTGTTAACACATGAATATGTGCGCTAATGTGAGCAATGTAATGTTTGAGTCGAAGGGAAAAAAAACATTATCACCAGGAGAAGCAGTGAATTACAGTGCACCCTTGCATGTTGGCGTTTTGACATTTATGAATTTGTATCGTCACTGATTTTTTTTTTTTAAAGCTAAACTCCATTAGTCGCGGAAAAGCGTATCAATGATTTTCTGTAACATGGCAAAAAAAATATATATATATACAGTTGTTTTTTTTTTTTTTTTTTTTTTTGAATGAAGTTGGGACGTTAAATAAAAACAGAATACAGTGATTTGCAAATCATGTTCAAGCTTTATTTAATTGAATGCACAACAAAGACAAGAGTTTTAATGTTCAAACTGCTAACCTGAATTGCTTTTAGCAGATAATTATTAGCTTCGAATTTTATGCCTGCCAAGTGTTCCCAAAAAGTTGGGACAGCATCGTGCTTACCATTGTGCTACATCACCTTTCCTTTTAACATTAAATGAACGTTTGTCGGTGGAATTCTTTTGTATTCTTGCTTGATGTACAGTTTTAGCTTTTCAACAGTCTGGGGCCTCTGCTGGTGTGTTTTATGCTTCAGAATGCGCCACACATTCTAAAATAAATTCAACATTATCTTTTGTCGAAGGATTGGAAAAGGGGTGCCAATGTGTTAGTGCACTTCATGTTGTGGCTGGTGAATGTACAAACGTAATTACTTTCTATTTAAAGAACTAGTTTTAATGAGCAGTTTTAATTGAAGTTACAGCATATGTGTAGATGTCAGTGTTTAAAGTACTCACATGAATGCAGAACCTTGATTTTCTCCTCTGCCTCTGACAGTTTGTCAGCCAAGCTAACGCCAGCATTCTCCTCCTCCCTGGGAGAAGAAGCTGTGTCAGTTGTACACATTTTCACTTTAGCTACACAACGTTATGCCTTGACATGTAAAATGTTCATCCCAGCGTCGCTCCGCCGCAGTGCAGGCTTCATTGACAAATGGAAGTTTAAGTGCTGTTCAAGCATTTTAAGAGAACCTTCAAAGAACCATTTCAGGCCATTTCTTTCTGATTTGATTTAACATGTGATGCACTTGGATTTCTCTAGCAAAAGGGGATATCTCATCCTCACTGGGAACACTAACAAGTCCCATCTAAGCTTTCCTTAGAATTATGAGTATAAATCAGAAATGCCAGTAAAGTCAACCGCTGCCGAGTCGCAAATCACCATTTGTGAATGGGCTCGATGATTTTATCTTCTGTACAACAGAATCAAAACTACTCTCTGACAAAAGCACCTCTTTGCGCCTACTGACATATTTTTGTGCTTTCTATATAATGCACCAAGATGCGGTCCGTACGTGCTCCTTTTAAGGTTTCTGGCTATCCATCCATCCATTCATTCATCCGTTGCTGGTCTTAATACTATGTCCCTAATACGTATCTGTTGACTGTATTGTAAACAACAACTACCATACCATCCGGGTGATATGGAGCCTATCTAAGCAGACTTTGCGCAAGAAGTGGGATAGGATATAACTTGAACTGGAGGTCAATGAATCTCAGGGCACAGACAGATAAACAACCATTCCCACACACATTTAAAACGATGCACACTTTGGAGTTTTCAAATGACCTCACATGCATGCTTTGGGAGATACCTGGGTAACCAGAGAAAACCCCTCACAAACATGTTCCACTGGTATGCCAGAGCGAATATGTGAACCCGGAAATTCAAATCTCAGTGGCGGGTGGTGAGTTTGGGACCTGGGCCTTCAGTGGGTATTATCCACCTTTTAATAACGCCATAATGTCACAATATGTACCCGCTGTCTTCCAAAGAAATACTATACCGCTATGTCTAAATTCACACTGCACAGCCTGTTACTAAACTGTTCCTAAAAACACCTTTGACAATGGTCTGTATAGTCTCCCTTCCAAGCACTCTCACTTGCACGCATTGATTGGAAAGAGGCCAATGTGTGGCATTAAAGAGCAGTGCACGTATTAGAGGATATTACCAAAAGAAAAAAAAGCCACTTTCATTTATCTTCCAATACATCACCACAATAACTCCAAACCTCTACAGTACAATATCCATCCATCCATTTTGTCTTCAGGCAGTAGGCGGGGGACACCCTGAACCGGTTACCAGCCAATCGCAGGGCACACAGAGCTGAACAACCATCCACGCTCACACTCACACCTAGTGAAAATTTTGAACGCATGTTTCTGGAATGTGGGAGGAAACCGGAGTACCCGGAGAAAACCCACGTATGGGGTGAACATGCACACTCCACACAGGAAGACCGGAGCTGGATTCGAACCCTTTACCTCTGCACTATGAGGTTGACGCGCTAACCACTCGACTACCGGGCCACCCTACAGTACAGTGATTAGTATGACGAAATCATTTTTATCAATATGAAAACTAAATAAATAATTAACATCGTACTCACCAGAGATGCTAATGCAGAAGCTCCTACCTATCTGTGTAGGATAACTGGTCCACTAATACATGACTGCTCTGAAATTGCCCCGTCCCCCACAAAAAAAACAAACAAAAAAACAAGCCACTCTGCAAAGCAGTGTTGGTTGAAATAGCCTCATAAAGTCCAGTTTTTCTTGAAATGTACGCTTTGAAAGTGAATTGTGAATTTTCAATCATAGTGCAATAACGTCTTCCATCGTAAATCAAGCCTTGGCCACCCATCTAATAGCTGAACCAATCAGGGGACGGATAAACTCGCTTGTCACGGGGCCTGTGGGATGGCTTTTTGGTGGTGAATTTACAATCTGATTGGCTATCACAAGAAACCAACGATTTCAGTGCTGTATGTGTGTGTGGTCTACGCCTTCACTCAACGCCCTGAACACCTTTAGACGTAATATGTGCACAGCACTACATTGAAGCTGAAATCTGATTGGACCAAGCAAAATTCATCCACAGAGGACTGGAAGCTGGAAGACATACGCAATGAAATGAAGAGAAAAGATTGTTGGAAATAAATGATTTCCACTTCATTTAAGTTGTAAATGTAGGTCTGTGTTTCTGATAGTGATTGCGCCTTCAGGGCCTTGAAGGTCCTGACAGAATGCCACTGTCAAACTGTATGGCAGACGTGCTAACAACAAGGCAAGGACAAGATAGATTTATTTATATCGCAGATTTCAGACACAAGGTAACTCAATGTGCTCAGTATCTATCTAAGAACATTGTGCTGCACACAACCACTACCACTGAAATTAAAACCCAAGCAAAAGAAAACATACAGTTCTATCATGGTCCAGCTCTGAGTGTGATTAAACAGCATTAGGTCCCCGCAATGCGAGAAAAAAAAAAATGCCAAAGCAAGGTACTGAATATTTGTTCAGCTAACCTCTTGAGCCACACTTGAGCTTTGTACGGTCTTCCTGAACACATTTAATATAGGATTGCCCTTGAAAAATCTTAAAGGAAGCAAAAATAATTTGGAGGGCAACATACCCTTCAAGAAGTTTTACATGACCGTTTTGTTTTGTGTTTCTCAAAGACGCGCGATCATTAGTAGCCCCTACCTCCGCCCCTCAGTTTGGTCCTGGTAGATCTCCTGTGGCGAGCCTGGGGCTGCAGGAGCCGGGGTGCTATTGGGGGTCATATCAGGGACTGGAGTGCTCGACTCGAGGGGGGCTCCAATTTTGGCTGCAAAACCGTTGTCTGTGGGCTCTATCAAGAGAATGTGAGAAAATTATGAATTCACGACAGAAATAAAGGTACTTCAAATGCAGCTTTCACAGGCAGATGTATAGGAGTAAACAAAGATGTAACCAGACCCTTTTTAGCGGGATATAAAGGCCCTGAATTAGTAAAGGTTTGTGTGTGCAAAAACGGTTAAACTTGATTGCTCACACAAGCAGATGCGGAAGCTGATTTGCTCACTGGGTGCACAGAGGATTGCATCTGCCAAACAGGCACAATTGCCGCACAGTTCATTTTGCGCTTTCTGGGAGGATTATTTGCACATCGATGAATTGAAAATAGATTTTATTTAAAATGCAATGTAATTTATCATCCCTGAGACACATTGCTGGGAGTAATTTTGCATCTTCAAATACCGTATTTTCCGCATGATAAGGCGCACCGAAAAGTCTTCCATTTTCTTAAAAGCTCCCAGCGCGCCTTAAAATCCGGTGCGCCTTGTGTATGGTCATTACGGTAATATGTCGACCCCAAGATGGCTCCTTCCTGGAGACATGCTTACAATGTTATAACTTGCTGTTGGTTCAGTGAACTGTGTCGCTGCTTTATTATTAAATAAGTTTTTGTTGCAGCTCCGAAAAAAAGGAGAGCTGTGGTGTTGTTTTTCTTAAAATGCACACTTTATTAATGGTTTTCACAGTCTCGACAAATACAGGTACGTCTTTGTCCATCTCTGTGCCTTGTCTTCTTCCGTTCAACTCGAGAGGCGTTCATGACCGCCTCCGAAAAACGTAAATTAACGATTCCTTCAATGAAAGTACGAAAATTGAAAACAATGCATCAAAACAGAAAATCAAGCGAGGAAATCACAAAATAAATTCTATACCCGCCCCCCCCCCCACAGAATTAATTTTTCCTCGTTTGTGAATACAGTGCACAACAAAGGAATAAATAACAAACACTTCTGAGACAGTCCAGTCTCCTACATTTTACTGACATCTGATCGTTTGTTGGAGCTATGCTCAAGGAAAGGCCAAAATAAATTCTGTATGAGGGGGCTATAGAATTTATTTTGTGATTTCCTCGCTTGATTTTCTGTTTTGATGCATTATTTCATGTTTCATTGAAGTAATCGTTAATTTTCGTTTTTTGGAGGCGGTCATGAACGCCTCTGGAGTCGAACAGAAGCAGTGTGGCGCCATCTAGTGGATGCATTGTAGATTGCACCTTATAATCCAGTGCGTCTAATACAGGGGTGGGCAATCCCAGTCCTGGAGGGCCGCTATCCTGCATGTTTTCCATCTGTCCCTGTTGCAACACACCTGATTCAATTGTTCAGGCCTCGACAGAGCTTGCTGATGATCTGATCATTTGAATCAGGTGTGTTGGAGAAGGGACAGATGGAAAACATACAGGATAGTGGGCCTCCAGGACTGGGATTGCCCACCCCTGGTCTAATATATGAAAAAAAAATCCTAAATAGGCCATTCATTGAAGGTGCGCCTCATACTCCAGTGCGCCTTTTAGTGCAGAAAATACAGTCCTGCGAAATTTTACACTTTTTGAAATGGCAAAAACATGAATGATCACAACCTGTTCTCTATTCAGCAATGTAATTTTGGAGCTTGTGGAGGATCTAAGGCAGGGGTGCCCATTACATTGATGGCGATCGACCTGTAGATCGTGGACTGGTCCCAAGTCGATCGCGAGGGGTGTCGAGGAGAAAAAAAACAAACAAACATTTGTGTGTCTTTGTGCATGTTAGTAATATATCTTTTTGTGTTAATGTACACTGCACCCTCATCATGCTATCAGTCTCATTTTCACAAAAAGTATAAAAAAATAAAATAAATAAAGCAGGTAAATCTTTAACCTACGGTGGCGCGTGACCTGCGTCAGCGGAAGTTGTTAGCGCTCAGTAGTCTGCAATTGCAGCTTGTGATTAGAGCTGTTGCGCGATATCTTTTATCGTTATCATTATTCTCATTCAGAGTTTGTTTTGTACAATTCACTGAGGGGACGGGCAAAGAATGGGAATCTAGAGGGCCGAGGGAAGCACTTTAAAACGGTACGTGTGAGCTATGATAGTTAACAGGCTGCAAAAGTGCGTCGCATGCCTCCGTGTCAGGCTGTTACTCATCATGGCGTGCGTATGTGCGTTCGCGTACGCGGAAATGGGTCGAGCGCGGGAGGTTGGTTGATCGAAAAGTCGATCTTCGGTCCAAAAAGTTTGGGCACCCCTGATCTAAGGGATGACTTGGAACCAGTCACAAGAAGGAGTCATGCCACATCATCTACTCTATGGCAAAACTCCCTTGAACTCTGCATTTCCTTGCATCTAGGTCCTTTCTATGAACAGTGACAAATGGGGGTCGCTTCTCCCAAAGCAGTTTGTCAGGTCTCCTGTTCCACTATTATGCAGGATGTGAGAAGATACATCCAGTTCACACACTCAGGGATAGTTAATAAAAATGATCAACATCATTTCCAAAGGTAAAAATTTTCCCATCAACATTCTCATTATTAGTTTCATTCAAAAATATTTGACTCACATTTGGCGGCAACTGATTTTTACAAGATGTAACTGACCTGATTTTTATTTCTTAAAAAATAAATATAAAATAGGGGCAGAGAAGATGAATCCTAACCCCGCATGTATTTGTCTGACCTGTCTTCTCGAGGCACTCCAAGTTTTTCTTCCAGTGCCCGCTGATCTCCCTCACTAGGGCCCCACTGTCAGGGGCCAAAGTTTGAAGCTGCTGCAGCCTCTCCTCCAGTGTGTGTGAGGCCTCCAGTACAGGAGCTGGATCTGTGAAAACGCACACAAACAAAGATGTAAGGAAAGAATTACAACAAAGCACATGGTACTTGCACTCACTAACTAAAAAAAAAAAAAAAAAGCATTAGACTGTCCTTCACATTATTTTTCATTAGTTCCAAATGCTAATGAGATTTTCCAAAAAGCAGGCAACTCTGACTTTCACACGAGAGTGCCTTTGAAAAATGGACGAGCTGGACATAACGCTAAAAGCTGACTTCCAAACCGTCACTTCGTAATGAATATTTTCATATTCTCATAAATGATCAGGAAAAAAAAAACAGATTGTTTTAAAAAGGTGACAATCTTAAATGCCAAATATACACACCAAAACAAAGTGTTGAAAAAGAATGCTCCTGAAAAGGGTGTAAAAAGAGAAAGGAAGAAAAAAAAAACAGGATTCTTTAGCACAACAGAGGAGCTATTTTGCAATGCATGCGCGGCAGCACTGGGCCCATGGGGCCAACTAGGAGCCTGCTTCTCAGCTAACAAGTCTCCTCTGTATCATTTGATCATTTAAATTATTATGCCAGGAATTCTCAGGAGGCAGCTCGGCACTCCACATCACAGGGCTGTTTTTAATCTTTGCCTTCCCTTTCTTCCCCTCCCGAAAAGTTCAACAGCTCAGAGAGAGTGAGCTGCTCTTGTTGTGTACCTGCCTGCTCAACACCAAAGGAGGTGACTTCTAGTGCCAAAGCACAAAGAAGGAAGCTCAGGGGAGCTCCTTGACAAGAGGGGGGGTGGCGAGATGCGGAGCAACGCTCACTCACACACATACACACACGCCTTTAAAAACTCCAAAAGAGGAAAATCGCTTCTTTGCTCTACACAAACTTTTTTTCTCGCAGCTTTCATCCGCGCATCTCATACTTGTGTGTCTAGTGTGGGCCCGGACTGCCGTGACATTTCATGAGCTATGAAGCCAAACTTTGCCATCAACTCCCAGCAAAAATAAACACTAATCACAGACCCCAAACTTCTGCGGCATGCAATTTGTTGAAATCCTGGCTGTGCATTGCGGGGCGTCCAATCCGCTTTTTCGTCAGACAAACATTTTGCACCATTTAATTGATTGCGCTATTTTTCCCAGGACCATTTACAGTCAAACATTGTCTGCATTCATTGTTGCACCAACTGTGGAGATGTTGCATCAGTCACAAGGGACATCACTGTTAAGGGAAAAGCTCTTCTCAGACAAACAGGAAGCACTGCTTTGCCATCGACCCGCTGTCACAGAAATCACTTTATCTGCCTCTTTCTCATATCGTTTTTCAACTTTTAGTGATCAAAGGACAGAGATCATACTTGCACATGGATAAATCAGGATTATCAATCATTGGCAAGGGAGTAAGGAAAGTCAAATAGAAAGCCACGGGAAATAACTGAAGTCGGTATACAAAAATAACCTTGCGGTTGAAGTAGAGATGTGGGGATCCTCACAAAGGGCTGCGAGATTTACACTTACTGAGGGAGAGTCCAGAAAGTCAGTGAGCAAGTTTGCACAACGCATCTACTAATTGGAGGTATTTATGGGCAACAATCTGACGCTGATGGTAAAAAACAAAAAACAAAAAAACTTGACCTTAAAGCTCACAGCTTGCATTTCCATTAATGAACACTACCAAGGCTTTTTCAGTACAGGATACTGTATCAGGGTCTCACCCTTAAAAACACAGCGTTGTCAAACAGTTCTTTTTTTTTTTTTTTCAACCCTTATCCAAGGATAATTGCATTCCTGATTTGAGGTCATAATTACTGACACAAAAACAAAACATCTGGTGAAAAGCACACATTTGTAGCATTTCCTTTTATGAATTTTATGACCCAAATCAACATTCTGAGGACGACATAATTCACGGGACTGGCAATGTATGTTTGCATATTGTCGTGGTTTCATCGAGCTTGACAAGATGAGGGTCAACAGACCAGCTTATTTTTTTTCAAACCAGCAGTGATTTTTACCACAAATGTGCAAATACTTTGGAAACATACTCGACCGATGCACGCCATTTCATATAATTTTTGACATTTCTCTGTAGTACAGTCCAAGGTATACATCCAAATCTAATATTCATATTCTAAGGCAGTGGTTCTTAACCTGGGTTCGATCGAACCCCAGGGGTTCGGTGAATCAGTCTCAGGGGTTCAATGGAGACTCTGCCATGGAGGTTAAGACACACCCAACTCAAGATGCAAATTAGTTATGATTGCTGGCTGCAGATGGTCACATGACATTGCTTGTCCAATCAGTGCTGTGGGAATTTTTTTTTGCTCTGTAGTCACCGTGTGACTGTCCTGATAGTACGTCATACAATTTTGAAAAAACTATACTTATGTCATGTAGTTTTATTGACTTTTTTCTGTTTTTAATAAATGTGTTTTTTTAATGTCTTGAATTTGTAAAAAAATCGTATTTTTATATTTCACTAATGAAGGGTTCAGTGAACGTGCATTTGAACTGGGTAGGTTCGGTACCTCTAACAAGGTTAAGAACCACTGTTCTAAGGAAACGTTACAGTCATGTATTATTTTAATGTTTGCAGCATTTCATAATGTTTACAACCAGTGAATGATCCCCAAAGTGTTCCTTGCATTTGCCTTTTTTGCTGCTATAAACCAAAATTCCCTTCAGCTCATTTCAATGTAATAGTTTTTGGCAATCAAGAGGATTGCCGTGCTGTTATAAAACACCTGGAGTGACTGTCTTTTGAATTCAAAGACCAAGTCAGAAATCTTGAGGTGCTATTCGACTCAGGCTTGACGTTCAGCAGTCATCTCAAATCAATCACTAAAACAGCCTCCTACCAGCTGAAAAACATACCACTGCTGTCCTGTGTAAAACGCGTGTCGATTTTTGTCATTTATACAAACAATTACAATAGTGGGATGTCCGAAATGCATCCCATTAACATAAACATTTCAAAAATTCCAAAAATGGACACGTGTTCATATGACAGCGACGATATTCAGACTGAAGTATTACATGCTCTGAGCAGACCAGGCGAAACTTATCCTTGCTTTTTATTTGCAGTAGACTTGATTATTGCAATGGTTTTCTTACTGGACTGCCTCAAATGAGCATCAAACAGCTGCAGCTCATTCAGAACGTTGCTGCTCGGGTTCTGACCAGAACAAAGAGATCAGAACATATTACTCCAGTCCTAAAGGCTTGACACTGCCTAAAAATCAGCTACAGAATAGATTTTAAAATTATGCTTGAGGTTTATAAACCATGAAATGGTTTGGGTCCTAAATGCATGAAAGAAATGTTGATTGAATATAAGCCCAGTAGAGCGCTGAGAGCTGTAGACTTCAATTATTGGAGTCCAGAGTTCCAAGGAAACATGGTGAAGCTGCATTTAGAAGTTATGCTGCACACAAATGGGTTAAGCTGCCAACAGAAGTGAAGTCAGCCCCGAATGTACTGTAAATGCTTTTGAATCCAGGTTATAAAAACTTACCCCATACCTTTAATTAAGGTCTTTGAAACTTTTTTTTTCTTTTTAGCTATTTTAGGACCCTACACTTTTTTCTTTACTTTTAAATGTTTTGGAAGTTTTCTGTTAAAGCGTTCAAATGTTGTCAGTCTACATTCTAGTAATTTTTGTGTGCTACTACTACTAGTGGAAAGTCCTCCACAGACTTCTGGGACAAATATATTTTTACACGCAAATTGTACATCAGGGATGGACAAGTTTGAGAATGCGGCCAGGGCTATAAATGTTTTTTATCCATATCCCATCAGGCCCAGGTATTTTTTATGAAGCACAAAATCATTTGTTAAAAGTTCATAATTCTTGATTTGATTCATTTCATTGACCTCAGTGACTCATGCTTCGACCCTTTTGTTCATAATAATAATTCATGGATTTGAAAAATGTCAAAATAAGAGATACTTTTTGAAAATGGATACATGACACCAATTTCAACAATTCATTCACTGAGTGAGGCGGTGGAGACCGGCTTGCATGCCAATTTCAGAAAGTATGTAGACAAGAAAATGCAGACATTGACCTTTACAGGAGGAAAAATAAGAGAAAACATTTTCAGCCTACAAAGTATTTTCATCTTGACAAACTTACATTGAGGCTTTCCAACTGTCACTATGACTCAGTGTACAATTTATGAATGTGAATTATTGCAAAAAACGGTTAAAGCAAATGCGTGCCTGGACATGTTTTATTTTTATTTTTTTATCTCTGTAGAGCTTCAAGCCTATGTAGGTACTCACTCTTTTAATTATGCTTTTGCACAATTGCAGCTGCATTGATACTGAGTTACATCATTTTAGCTGTGCAGTAATGAGGCTGCCATGGTCTAGTCGCTGCTACCCCGTGGTCACTGACTTGCTGTTTTTGGGTGACTGCATTCCAAAGAAAAAGGCATTACAAGTACACGTATCAGGAAGCAGAAGCCAAAATCTGTCAGAAGAAGGCGAGTTCAGTCGTCTGTGTGTGGCACGGAAGAGAAAAGTGCACAGGTAGACTATGTGTCTGGGTGGAAGCGGTTAAGGGAGGGGTGGAAGGGCGAAGGTCTTGCGCTGCAAGACAAGCAGGTGTGTCGGCTGGTCCGTCTTTGCCACGTCAGCGATACACTATCATTAGGTGGCGTGGGCGCAGTAGGGTGCACCATTATGTCTCACTGGGCCGCGTGTAATTACGCTCTGACATAATTAACCCAGCAAGCCCATTAGCCAAGCAGTGGCTGGCTGAAGAGAGGAGGGGGGAAAAAAACTATAATTATTTGTTGTGCACATGTTAATGAGGCCAGCTGTGTTCCCATCATACAACACGAACAAATTAATTTACAAGGCTGAGCTCAAGGGTTTTTTTTCTGTTCATTCAAAACAGCGTTGTTGTTGTTTTGTTTTTTTCTCTCGAAGTGGACTTCAAGGTCCACGAACATGTTCTGCTGCTGCAACAAACAGTAAGGGTGCCGTAATAGTGCCGTCAAGGACCAAAACTAGGCTGACACAATTTTGGAGCTCGAGT